ATATATATATATATATAATTGAAGTATGGTGACAACTATTGGTCTTAAAGAGAGCACTTTGTATTTAATTCTTAATTATTTGTAATATTAAATGTTTATTTTCAATAAAACAATGACTTGGTAATCTCCCACTTTATCCATGCAGTTATGTAAAATGATATCTATTAGGTGCAGAGGTGCATTAGCATTTACACATGTTGATCTGCACGTATTTATGTAAAGTCGATGGACTGATGAGTCAGGTATTAAGGAGGATCCTTCTGGACATTGACCTCTTCTTTACAACAATTATCTGCAGTTAAAACAGCCTGATATCGGCTAAACGCCCAGTCACAAAGAAGTGGGAATGGAGTGTGTTTGGGACATAATCTTGTTTTGAAAAAAAAAAAAAAAAAGGTTTGCAAAAATAGATTAGGTCAAAAGGTGAAAGAAACTGATGTTGCTCAAGGTGGTTTAAAAATAGTGTCTATGATTATTTTAACCCTCCAAAGGGTTCCCACACTTAAAGTCTTCAAGAAATTAAAACTAACCATATGATTTTGTTAGCCAACAGTTTTAGTTTTGTGGTGAACAAATCAAATGTCATTAAGAAAAAAAAATGTTTGCCCTTGTATTGTATTATTGTAAATGAAATCTGAAAATGCACTTTTGCAAATTGTCAATTACGTATATCTTAGCAAATGGCCGTGGCTAATATATTCAACAACGCCCCTCCAACTGTTGGTTTTGACAACAAACAGAAATAGCGAGCAAGAGAAGGTTGTTGGTTGCAATTACTCTCTCCTCAACCCTTTTTCCAGATCTTTCTAAATGAAATGCCTTCTTTACTACATCCATTCTGCTCGCAGTAGAAAAAACAAGCCACGCCCACTGTTTTCCCATTTAATATTTCATTTCCCTAGGAACTGCGTCACAATACAAAAAAATTGGTCACAGTTTCCGGTTTATGGGGACTTTAACCCATGGTCACACTGGACTTTTTGCCCCATAGACTTCCATGCACATCTATGCAAATGCGACAGACCAGAAATGCAAACTCATGCAAAAAATGTTGGCAGTTCGAAGTTTAAGCTTGGTGAACTCTAAACTTGCAAATCGCATCACGTAACTGCATGAGACCAATCGAAGATCAAAACATGACATCTCTGTACAAAATTTTTAAATATGGAGCAACCACTTGCTTTTTTTTTTTTAAATGTCTAATCATATTGTTTAATTTCGCCCCTTTTCACAGCACCATACAACAGAATATCGCATACTCAAACTCCAGTGTGACCGTGGCATTACTTGCCAAGTACTCCCACAGTACTTGAATCTCAGACATACAGTATGCTGCATCTGAAACAGCCTACTACTGCATTAGAATTTAAATTTACTAAACCATTAGAGTTTAATGGTTTAGTACCAAAGTAAAAGTAACCAAAGTATGCTCCATACAGTATGAATGGAACTCAGACGTACAGTACTATGTCCATCATTTTGTCATGATCACGTGACCCACCTTCTTTAGTTGCATCGCTTTACTCCCATTCATAAATTCTCTCGCAGGGCATCATGGGATAGCGCAGCGTGCATGGAATGCACACTTCAGAATCTCGCCAGAAGTAGTAGCCCATCCGGGTACTTCTCACATACCGTTTTTCGAATTTCAATGAATTCAGACATACTACTTGGCTCATATACTGTTTTTAGCGTACTATATAGTATGAAAGTGTGTGATTTCAGACGCAGCCCTGGATTTATGGCCTGGAAAAAAAAAAAACAGGCCATTGAAAATGCTTAAATTAAATCTGATTTTATATTTCTTTGTGTTATTTCAACAACTGTATTGTGCTTCTGCCAAAAAGAGAACAAAGAAATTTTTAAAAAAGGTTTTTAAAAATGTTAATTTTGTACAAAGATGAATAATGCAAATTTTATCAGAAACTGCATTTAATTATTACCAGTATTAATCTCAACAGATTAAAGTTCTTTGTACATGACTAGTTAAAACAGTCTAAATGTTTAACAATGACATGCTCTGACATTTGAATGTGAATATTAAATGTAAGTGAATTAAAGCGGCGCTTGATTTGAAATTAACGGTGCTTTAAAAAGTCCTTGAATCTGTTTTTTATGAAATAGTGGGAACCCTGCGTCCTTCAAAAAAGACAGTTTTAAACACTAGTGTAACTTGTGAATCATAAATATTTTGAAAAGCTTCTAAATATTGTAAAAAAAAAGTTTTAAATAAATTCTCTGATAACATTAAGAGTGGTCAAAACTTATTAATTAACTTATGGTTTCATTAATTAGAGTGCCTGTGACCATGTAAAAAATGTATTAGCATTTCTGCAGGTTTCATCAAGTCCATTTAAGATTTTTTAAGACCATTATGAATGAAACTTCAGACATTCTGGGCTAAACACTAATATTTTTTTGTGATAGCCAGGTTGAGCCAAAAGAATTGGAAAAAAAAATCTAATGCAGTTATTTCTTAACCTCATATCTTAATGTATCTAGTTGTATACACTTTTTTTCAGCATGTTTATTTTTCTTTTTAATGACAAGTTTAGCATTGTCGAAAGTATATTTATAATGAAGAAAATTACAAATATATTTGTTCGCTTTTTGTCCAAATTAATAGAGTTTAACTCTTATTCAACCTAATGTGTTTCTGTTATAAAACCTTATGCCTAATATGCCTACTTATAAAGATCATGTCTACTCACTCTTACTTCTGCAGATAGTGTTTTTGTAAATGGAAGATCATGTACAGGAATATATTGCTGTTATTATCATGAGGAATTGTGTAATTGTTTTCAGTTTTCTTTTCCTTATCGGGGAATTTAATTAAGAGAATTTGCCGTAAAAATGTCTTAACAGGTGTTGTGAAGTGTAAATCTTTGCAATAAAAACTTTTTAAAATAATTTATATATATAAAAAAAGTTGTTTAGATGGATTTTTGGTGATTGGATGGGTGTCTTTTAAAATTAAGACCAGTTTAAAATTATTTATAAAATTATAATAACATAAAAGACATTCTGTTATATAAAATAATTAGGATGGTTCAGTCAAAGTTATATTAGCAATATGACTTTATATCAAGCACAACATTATTATTCATGTCTAATTAGTATATATAATCAGTTGTTAACTTAACAGATTATGGCGTTATGCATAGACAATCTCAGCAACTCAGTTTAATAGATAAACAGATGTATAATGTTTTGTTTTAATAATAATTTATCCACAATTTTCAATACAGGCAATGCATACAATATTGTATCCATGTATGTACCTATACAAGTACAGAGATCCAGAACTTATTTAAAAAAATAATTCTGACGAAAAAAAAAAATCATTGACTGGAAGTAAAATAACCCTCAATCTCCTTATTAAAGGCAAAATAAAATAACTTATATAAAAAGAACTGACAACTAACACATACAAGACACACATATAAATCTGTTTCTCGTTTTGTTGGATTTCTTTTCGGTTCTCATATATGATCATGTATGATGTATTTATGACATTTTTTTTGCATATTATAATGATCATTGTTTTTTGTTCATATTACAAGAGAAATGAAATGGAAAGCCTGAGGTTGCTTTGATGCAATAAATTAGCAATCAATGCTTTCTTTTGCTTCATAGTTACTGATTTTGTTTAAGTGTGTTTGACTTGTTTGACCAGCAACCTTCACCAGCATCTGGTGTGTGCGTGTAAACTGTAGAATTAAGCAAAAAATGAAGGCAGGTTTAACCAATGGTGATGCCAAAGCCACACTGGAACTTGTGTTTTCTGTGGTCCAGGTAAGCGCTGAGGGCCAGTGACAGAGGCAGAGGCTGAAGCTTCTTCTCCAGATTGGCTCCAACCACCCAGTTACTGTCTAAAGAACCTACAGACAGAGAGAAAGAGGCTGTTATTCAGAGGATGATCCAATGGAGTCATATATGGATGACAATTACTGGGTAAGTCTTTGCAATAATAATAATAATTTGAGGATTTTTATTTAAATATAAAAATATAACGACATAATCCTCTTCTGTAAAACACAATAAATCACATTTAACAAGTTTATCTTACTTTCAAGTTCAAAGGCTACGTTTACACTGCAAATGTGGCCCAGATTTTTTAGCCTACAAGTGACTCACTTAATAATAATAAAATTGCATATAAAAAAAATAAAACTGCATATAAATAAATAAAATCGCATTTATAAAAAGTATAAAATACATAGGCTTACATGAAATAGCCATCTTTCACATATATAGTTAATACATCAACAAGACCAAAGTCCACGACTTTAATATTCTATTTAAACTTTTTTGTTATTACACCATTCTTCAATGTGCCGGTAGCCAATGTCTCAGTTTCACTTTGATGAGTTTTGACTGTATACCGCTTATACTGTTTATAACAAATTAACATGAAATAACAGTAGGCTAGGTTATCAGACTCTGCAAACAATACAAGTTTGGTTACATTTTATTTTGATGGTCGGTTTGTTGAATTTTAAGTACAGTTATAGTCAGAAACATTAGCCCCCCTTTGAAATTATTATTTTTTCTTTTTTAGATATTTCCAAATGATGTTTAACAGAACAAGGACATTTTCACAGTATGTCTGATAATATTTTTTCCTCTGGGGAAAGTCTTATTTGTTTTATTTTGGCTAGAATAAAAGCAGTTTTAAGTTTTTTAAGCACCATTTTAAATTTTAGTCGACAGAACAAACCATCGTTATACAATAAATTGCCTAATTAGCCTAACCTGACCAGTTAGCCTAACTAACCTAGTTAAGCCTTTAAATGTCTGACTTCAACTGTACATGCTAACTAATTTAAAATTTTTTGATTATGAGTAGACTGATCTTATAGTCGGTAAAATGTCTGTTTAGCAGCAGTATCAACAGATATTAAGCAGACAGTCTACTAATACTCAAATGGACCATCAAAAATAAAATATTACCCAATTTTTAACACCAGACATGATCCCTGCCTTCATAGTTCAATCTGCAGCTGCTCATTAACCCCTGATAAGTTCACTACACACTGGTGGTCAGTGAGACGCGCACCATGCTTCTGCTTCACATTAATAACAAAGCATCACAAAACACATAATTTAGGTTTCAAACACTGAAATGCACATTAGAACTATAAAAAAACAACCATTTATAGTTTATAAAAACATAGTGGTTGTCTGTAAAAAAAAGTCACTAATCATATTAAACATAATCTGACGTGATATTTACTTCATACAGTACAAATATTGTGTGCATAATTTTTGCTGTTGAGTTCGTTTCAATCGAGCCGAGACCACCTCATTCAAGCAATCTCGGAGCGATTGATTTGGCGCGGATCCGAGCACGATTGTTTTACATATGCCAAATGAACCACGCTAACTGGGCAAACGAGACCGGTTGCGAAACAAAAGTGTAGGTGTGAAAGCACCCTGAAAGAGCACATTTTGCTTCTCTGAATAGTATTCTTAATGTACCATGTAATATAGCTGTTTGTGAATGTAAAGAATCTTCAAAGTATATGGCTTAATGTGATTGTTAAAGTTAATTAATTAAAATATGAGTGCTGCACATTTGATTAAATAAGCTTTAAAACAAAAAAACATTATGGTTATGACCAGTATTTTGCTAATACAATAAACTACTTCTGGCATATAATAAATAACAAATGTAATTGTAAAAAAACACTAGAGCAAACAATATACAGCATACATTCTGCATTCAAATAAATGATTCATCTTTTAAATGTGTCCTTGTATCCATTAATTAGGAAAAGGCAAATCAGTTGTATTATTTTAAGTTAGGAGGACATCTACTCCTTAGGGAAAAGGTAGGCTTTAAGCCCCGATGTTAACAATGGCGTGCTCGATCCACGTGAAAATAAGCTGTTGAATTGCTTATAACTCTTCAAATACGCTGATGATAGATGTTGATAAATGTGTTTGTATGTACCAACCTTTAAAAACCAGGTTGGCTTTAGGGACATCCAGCTGGTACCCAAATGTTACACTAGTGTCCTGCATGCGAGTGCTCACTTCATACTCCACTCCAACCTGCAACTAAAAGCAAAAAAACAAAAACAAATGTTATGATGAAGCCATAAAACATTTCTCATTCTGACATTCTGTTCTGCTGATCAACATTTACCTGATCGTTGGCTTTGTGGTAGTAAGAGGCATGAACTCCAGCTCCTCCTAGTGTCAATGTGGCGATGAAGTTGCTGCCTGTTTTTCAACACACATTTACATAAAAGTTACAGCATTAATATTGTTCAAAAACTAGACAATTATATTTGAAACAATCATGCGAGCCCAGAAATAATACCTAAAAATGTTTTTTAAAGATGTTCTGGGTCGGGTTGCACAAGCTGTTCGTAAGTTCTGTCTTAAACTGGAACGTAAAGTCCACACTTTTAACTAAATTTGTTCTTATTTCAGTTGCACCACATGTTCTTAAGGCAAACCATAGTTAGTAGGTCGTAAGCTCTCCGCAAAGTCGTGATCAGTCGCACTGAATGACGTAATATCCAATAAGAAGCATTTAAATAGTTAAACTGCTTTAAAATTCTGCAACTAATGCGTCTATATATAAAACTGTCCTATGAAAATGAAATGATATTATTTTTATAGCACATTAATTCAGTCAGTCACTATTAACAGATAACACACATACCTGCTTCGTGAATGCACGCAAAATACACATGATTTTTATATATCCTACATATGAAGAGAAAAGAGCAGGAAGAAAAACTCAGTCATAAAGAAATTCTCGATTTATTTGATACAATTACCACAGAGCACTCCTCAATGTAAAATAATCTTGCTGTCATCTCTTTTTCTGTTGTACATGGGGGGAGGCTGCCGTAAATATTCAGTTGGAATGTAGCGTTATGTTTAAACTAAGTCCAGTGGTGCAACACAAAAATATTTAGTGATGTGTAAGTTGTAACTGGCGTCCCTTTAAGTTACAACTAGGCTACGACTTAACTTACGCACTGTTGGTGCAACCGTCCCCTGATTTCTAAAAATTCAGTACTATTTATTACTATTACTAAGAAAATGTAAGAAGTGCTTTTTTTAAACACCTGTTAATATTAGGTAATAATTTCAAACTGTATCTAATTCTGTTATTATTATTTAATGGATTTCAGCTAACATTTATTAACTGTAAATATATATGTACTTTTAATAACTATTAATAACTAACAGATTTTTCTCAAAAAACAAAAGGAGAAAAGTAGATCAAAGCCCAAAATAAATTCAACATAAACACTACAAATAAACAAGCCACAAATCAAAATACCACAACCCGAATCTGCCTATTGCTTTAACTACAGCTCAAACTTGCTTAATAATAAGCATTGCTTATTACAAGAGGGCATGGCAACACAATGCGAAGCCTTTTAAATATAATCAAAACTCAACACATTTGTTGATGTTGATTACAACTAATTAACATTTATTACCAGAAAAATTACATTTATTAATAAATCATTTAACATTTATTAACAGTAAATATATATATATATATATATATATATATATATATATATATATATATATATATATATATGTATGTATGTATGTATGTATGTAAGTTCATTCAAAAATATTAATTAACTCACAATTTACTCTAGTACCAAACATACAAAAAGCAAAAACAATAAAAAAATACTATTGAAGTAAATGGTTACCGGTTTTCAACATTCTTCAAAGTATTTTATTTTGTGTTCTTAATTCAAACAGGTCGGAATCAAGTGAAATATGAGTAAATGGTGAAAGAATTTTCATTTTTGGGTAAATAGTTTCTTTAATGCATTATTAGAATTAAGTAATGTTACAATAATTAATTAAACAAATGTAAATATACTGTTTAAAAAACATGAAGGCCTATTGCTAACACAATTTAACCACCAACTAGCCAAAATCTAAAGAGAGATTGTGTTGAAGCTAATATTATTATTTAACTCACATCTACTTTTTATGGTTGTTTTTGTGCACATTATAAATCACATATTATATATCTACTTTACAATAAAATGTTACACAGTTAAACTTATTTAATGTAAAAGTTTAGTTTTACTTTGAATTAATTATTCAACTCATGAAAGTGTTTGTTCTTTCATGAAATTAACACTGTAATAGAAGATGCAACATTTACTTTGCTATGACAACTTGATACTGTCACCTGCCCATCTGCTGCTCTCTTAAGTGATTACCTGTATATCTGCCAGCCAGAGACATGACTGTGCCCTCCTCTCCTGGCCGTCGATGGTACACCAGCTCTCCTCCTAATGCCAGCGATGAAGTCACAGACTGGAGATAATGAGCTACAACAATTCCTGAGAGCGGCAGGACGAGAGGTGAGAAAAATAAAGTTAGAAAAGTTAACTGAAGGCTAAATACAAATAAATTAGTTACTGCAGATTTCATCAAGTCAAATTTAAGACTTTTTTAGTCCTCTTTTTAAGAGCATTATGTATGGAATCAGATGTATACAGGGTTGAACATTAAGGATGTTTTCTAATGGCCCAGTTTTACTTTTCTCATCCAAAAAAATTAAAATAAATAAATAAAACTATATATATATATATATATATATATATATATATATATATATATATATATATATATAAATTTTCTTGTCGGCTTAGTCCCTTTATTAATCCGGGGTCGCCACAGCGGAATGAACCGCTAACTTATCCAGCACGTTTCAACGCAGCAGATATTCTTCCAGCCGCAACCCATATCTATCTCTCTATATTTATATATATAATGAAATTTTTTCTTAGCCACATATTTTTACTTATGTGTTAAATTCTACCTGTATACATGCACTTTTTTCAACATAACCTTTTTTGACAAGTTTTGAAAACTATAATAAAAATGATAAGAAACTAATGTTTCCATATCAGTCTGTCTAGGTCAGTGTCACATTGAGAGCTTTTAAACTAATGCCATTAAAACTGTATTGGTAAAGAGTGTTAAAATGTACAATGTTGTATTGAGATGGATTGCCGGTGATTGGATGGATGTTGGCCTGATTGAGTAACTTTACATGGACATAGGAAAATAAAGGTCCAATCCTAAATCTATTCCTTAGCCATTCGCCTCACCGCTACCCCTTGTTTTGCGTGTTCACGTGAAGAGGTAGGGGTTTTACAATTCTCTTTAGCTTGAAGGCTTAGGGCTAAGGGGCAGTGTTGCCAACTATTTTCAATGAAAAGGCGCTAAGCTTTGCCCAAAAAGCTAGATTACGTCATATGTCAATTTGCATATTTCTGATGTTAAATACAGTATGTCAGTATAGATGTGTAGTGAATTTGCAGTAATCTCTCAGACGTAATAAACTCAAACAAGTTCCCAAACTGTCACTAAAATCTCTGTGAGTGTGAACAAGAACTAAAAAGATTGGTCAAATTAAATTGTTAAATTTAAAACAAAGGAGAAGCAGATTAGTTTGACTGTACAAGGAAAATATGTCACATTCGCTGTCAGTGTTGCCAGATTGGGCGGTTTTGAATTTGATTGTGTGGGTAAAAAATGACATAGGCAAGTGGAGAAAATTTGGGGGGTTTCGAAATGTCATGCCCCAAAGCCCCAGACACATTATTACCTTATTGCCATATTATGTCTTTATGATAACATGATATATGCCTTCAATGGTTTCCTGAAGATAAATACCCAAAAATAATGCAACTGGAATAACAACAGCAGTCGCCATCATCGATCTCATATGAAGCAAAAGATTGCGATGACATAGGATGATGTGTGCAGGTGCTGTAGAGCTGTCCCATTTCTCAGTGGTAAATTTCAAAGCCCTTTCCCTTCACACTCTGTTTCAAGGGCCAACGGGAAGGGATAAAAAATATAATTGGGATTGGGCCTAAGTGAAGCACAAACAAACGTGGATTAAACTGGTGACAATTACCTGATCCCATCAACACATCTGGGTTTCCAAATGTCACAGCAGCAGTGAAATCCTCTCCTTTAAATTCAGTGTCTCCTTGCCAGTTCACAAATTTCTGCTGCTGAGTCTGATTGAGATGCAATATATTATTAAATTCCCTTAATATACTACAGAATTACTGTATTTTCATCAAATAAAATATGCAGCAACTTATATTACAAAACTCAAATATGAAATGCACTTAATAGCAATTATAATATACCTGAGAGTACTTGTTTTAATTTAAATGTATCTAAAGTATATGATTATAATGTCTGTAAACATTCTATTATACACAAAATCAAAATATCAGCTTTTCTTTTTCTGAACAAAGCAAAAAAGTGTGTATTTTCACAAGTAAGCACTTACCTGGAAGACGAATTTAGAGCGTACTTTGTCAGTGATCTGATGAATAACCTGTGCATTTAAGCTCCCTGTGTTGTCCATATCACCAACCATGACGGGAAAGGCCTGACAGCAAAATAAAGTTTTAGAGTAAATAACACAAATTAATTTGTTAAATCAAACTTTGTTCAAAATATGTGTTTATTTTTGTAAATATGTGTACCTCTCCTGGTCCTGTTTGTTTGGTTCCCACATACGTCGCTCCAAATCTGTAGCTGGAATCTGCTTGAGTGCTTAACAACACCGTGTGGTTCACCTATAAAGTATAACAAGATGATTATGGTAATGCTAGGGAAAACTGACACAATTGTAAAGGCTTGCTACAACATCATGGCCCAAGACATGTTCAGTGGACTAACCTGGAAGTGATTGCTCAAGCCCTTGTTCACTGTTAGTCTGACACCCTCCATCTGCACTGGAAAAACCTCTGAGGGACAGACATTAGTTTGATAAAACATGAATCTGGCATAAAAAAACAAGTTAAAAATGTGTCTTCAGCCCCGGTGAGATCTAGGCATGGGCTGTTTTAAGATTTTGACGGTATGATAACCTTGGATATAAATATCATGGTTTCACGATATCATGGTATTGAGATTACTGCTCTTAAATATATTATTTCTAAATGTCTGGGTGAAAAACAAAACATTTTCTCCTATTGTGCACATTGTATTTTAATTTGAGAAACATAAAAAAATATTTTGGAACAGTAAACCAAAAAAATAACATTTGAGGTGAAGCGCTTCAAAACAAGTCTGCTATATGCGTCAAAACACGAATTGCCATGAGATTGTGTTGGTTAGTTAAGTAAAATAATAATCTAGCCCAGGGATGGGCAAACTCGGTCCTGGAGGGCCGGTGTCCTGCACAGTTTAGCTCCAACACTAATCAAACACACCTGAACCAGCTGATCAGTGTCTTCAAGATCACTAGAAATCTACAAGCAGGTGTGTTTGATTAGAGTTGGAACAAAACTCTGCTGGGACACCGGCCCTCGAGGATCAAGTTTTCCCATCCCTGATCTAGCCTCAAATAAAATTAAAGTGAAATAGTAACAGTTTTTTTTTAAAGAAGCCTATATAAAGCTGTTTTCACTATTAATAACAAATTTGAATAAGCAAGAAATGCTTTTGCAATGTATTCGCAGCACTGAACATATTCCCAGATTACCTCAGAAGAACAAACTCTGTTGGAAGGATAAGAGAACTCAGAAACTTGTTGTAAGAATGGAGATGTCTGCATATATGCCCTTTTGTGACACTTTAATATCTTAGAAAAGGTAGTTAAAGTTTGCATAACCAATGATTGATCTTATCCACCCGTGACCCACCCATAAGTTAATATGCAGCTTATTTTTTAAATTACCTGACTGGCGCATTAACGGCAGCGGCCGCTGAGATAACCGAGAAATTAGGTGCTCAACTCGTTTTGAAGAACGAGAAAAAAATTAAACATGCTAGCTTTTCTGTGATGGTGTCCTGAGGCGTTGCAGGCATTATATCAGTTGTCGTGAACTATGCCACATTAAACAAGAAGAAACGATTAAATCTTGTGTCACAACAGCCATTTGTGGTTTACAAATCCCCACGTCAACCTAATGCCTGATTCACTCGGGGTTTCAGCGTCAATGCTTGACCAATGGTGTGTCCGATGACCGATGAAGTTGCAGGTGATGTGGTCATCATATCAGCATCAGCCAATAAAATTAGTCAGCAATCGGCTATGTCTCAGCTGGTGTATTTGCATACAGCAATCTGATTGGCTGGCGCTTCTGTTTGTGCTTGAAAAGTTGAAAAAGTCCCAACTTCTGCAGTGAGCAATGCCACTGAAGCAGCACCGACAGACCCACAATTCAGTTGGGCACTGCTTGACGTCACCTATTCAAAGTAAATGGGAAGCGTTTACGCCGACGCCCTATGTGAATGGGCCGTAACTCAAGGAAATTGTGCCGAAATCATGACAAATTCATGTGATCTGACCAGGGCTTTAGGCTGACTAAAGATGCATTTGTAACACAAATAGACGAATATAGAAATAATTTCTATTTTCATTTATTTTAAAATTTATAATGTAACGTAAATGTGCGGGATGCAACAGTTAGGTTCAAGAAATAAAAAGATTAGTCATATTTTCATATTTTTTGTGCTTCAAATAAAATTTTGTTATGTTGAAATTAGTCTCGTAGATGGTTGGTTTGTTTTTTAATTATAATGGTTTAAAAAGAGTTTTAAAATTCCCTATGGAAAAATGGCTCTGTATGAGTGTTGGTTTCTTTCATAAACCCAAAATAAAAGTATTTATGCCGACAATTTATTATTATAACTTCAGTATTTATTATTGCACCATTTGACAACAATGCAGTACACGATACAAAACTTAAATTGTACAGTTAACGTTAGATACCCGATTAATTAGGTATGTTTATAATCTCTGTCTTTATTTAATGATAAAGTAATAATATTTACCTTTGCATTTGCGATGGCACTCTTCAAATCCTCCGGGGTTTGGAAGGGGAGGCTCGGTGTCCTGTTGCCCGGTTGGAGAGCTGCTCGGGGCAGAGACCGGTGAGACGGGGGGCATCGTAAATCCCGGAGGCACCGATACCAAACCTGGGGCACCCGGCCCTGGTGGAGGTGGGCTGGGGGCGCTGGCAGCCAACACACTGCCCATTCTGATACAGGACAGAAATTACATGACTAAAAACACGATTATCTAATCGAAATAGGAAACAATCATAAGCAGCTTAGGGAAGTTAGGCCAGTTGTTTTCATTTGTGGACTATTAACAGTTCGTGCATGTTATGTTTAGGCAAAAACCTTAAGTCATTCAATGTCTTATTTTATATAAAAATAAATAAAGAAATATAATGGATTTGTAGATTTTAGACAATTAGAAGCTGCTGTTTCGGTAAGAATCCAGCTTAAAATACATATATGTAACGTTACTTCAGCTAACAGTTCATTGATGAATTAGCTCACAAGCTAAATGCCACAAGCTTTGTGTTATTCGCCAGATATTACACATGTATGCAATACAAATGCCATTTAGATCGAACAAATAAGAACCTTTCTAGTAGAGAAATTACTCGGAGATGTGCTATATATTTGAAAAAAAGCTCAATGACAATGAATGAATCAATGACAACTCACGTTGAGCTTCTCAGAGGACGGGTCTCCTGGTTACAGAACCACGTGTGTCCATCGATGTATTGTGAAAGAAATGAATCATTCAGAGTCGAATCCTTTCAGCAAATGCGTTCATTAAACCAGTCTGAACTATTCATTTACGAGTCGGAATGAATGGAACCGGGCCGTTGTGAATCTTTCAGCATCTTTACATTATATAATGTAAGTTTTACTTTTTAATTTTGAAAAGAACTACTTAGCGAGTTTTTGAATCAGTTCGTTCAGATAATCTTTTCGAAAGAACCGATTCAAGTGAACGAGTCGAATTCATATGCCGTTCCTCCTACTCTCAGCTCGACGGAACCAAAACTGAATGGCTATTGGTTTGTTTTTCTGTCAGTCACTACGTCAAAATAAAGCGGGGTTGAAAGAGCGGACACGAAGTAGAAGGATTTGGGTGAAGGTCAAATAAATAACAGACTTTGAAGGTCGCTTTGAATCCAACAAACCAAACTGCTCAGAATAGGTCTTAATCGTTCAATTCAAACATTTGAATGACATAAAATCAATAGTGACAACTCAGGACGAGGTAAAAGCTGGAACAGTTGTATTTCAAAAGCAAGAGTGCTGAAAAAGCATGTAGTAGTCTATATTTGCATTTGGCATGTATAATTAGGACAGCACTGTACAAACGATTTCTATTTGTTAACTCCCAATAGTTAACACAATAAACATAATCTGTTATTGACTTTAATAATATTCATTTCAACATTAAACATTTTAAAAATGTCAATATATTTATTGACATTGATTTAACATGAACTAACGATGAGCAGTTAAATTTTTAGTAAAATAGTGATAAATGTTACAAATGAATGGCTCTTGTATTTTAAAGCATAAACTAACGTTAACTAATGGACTTTATTGTAAAGTGTGTACCTCATTAATATCAACAGTGAGAGTAATAGCAATAGACAGTTGCCACAGTTGGGCTGCACAAAATAACGTTTTAGCATTTTTATAGCACAATAGTCTCAAAGCAGGATCTGCAATCTGGATTAGCTTTAACAAAGATTAATTTAATTATTTACACAATGAAGATTATACAACTTTATTGTACATTTGATTATTTTATTTCTGTACCTGAGTAGTGTTTATCTATATCGTTGCTCTACTTTATTTATCTATGCTGGTAACTTGTTAATGATCTTTTTCTGCAAATGCACTCTACAAAATCATCCCAAAGAATATTATAGTACACTGTAAAACTCATAAAGTTAAGGTAAATCAAACCATTTGAGGAAACCGATTGCAACAAACCATGTAAGTTAAAAAACTAATCCTAATGAGTATTGTGAACTTAATCCATTTGAGTAAATGAAGCAATTTGAGCACAGTAAAACCCAATAAATGAAGAGAACTCAAACCAAAAGAGTACTGTAAAACTCAATAAGATGAGGCAACTCAAACCGCCTGAAGAAAACGATTGCAACAAACCATTTAAGTAAAAAAACTAATCTATATGGGTACTGTGAACTTGCTCCATTTAAGTTGAAGTAATGAGGAATTTAATTAACTCATTACCTTCAACACTGTTCAAAGCTCTTTTCAAATGAGTAGAATTAACTTTGTCAATTTTGAGTTACTACACTCATTTCATTTGATAAACCTGACTGTTGGGTTTTATAGTGTATTATTTATTTCTAAATCAAGTTATTTAAATCATTTGGTGAAATATCGCAATATAAATCGCAAAAAAACAAAACAAAAATATCGCAATGTAAGTATTTTCCATATCGTGCAGTCCTAAACTACAGTATATTTTATAAGTCATAGTAAATATTTAGGAAACAATAGTTAGAAACAATAGTTTCCTAGTAAAAATATTGATCATAATGAAATAATTCAAAATAATAAAAATTACCGACAATAACAATGATTTCATAATTGTTTTGTCCCTTGAATTAGTTTTTTGAACTAAAGATGGTAAAGTAGTTACTAATACAACAACAAAAAGCACTGAGACAAAGATCCATTCATGAAAACAGCGGAGTATTTATTATCGCATTTGACATTCAGTTCATCCAAATCTCTTCAAAAATATAGTTTAGAACAAACATCTTTGGTGTTATGAGATAAAAATAAAGATCAGCATGTTCTGAATCAAATTAGGTTCAAATCTTGTTTCAGCTTTTTAGTTTACTGCATTATGACACAAACTGGTAACTACTTAAAGCTAAATGTACTTGTGCGTCTGACCAGTTCTTCCTGAAAAAAAAGAAGATGAGGTAACTTATTAATATAAAGGCTCAAGTTTAGACAAGGGTATGAAAAGACACAACAGTGTAAAGCTCAGAACTGCATCTTCATATATCACACACACACACACACATTTATCCTTGTAAAATTAATTGAACATTTTAAAATGATGCTATATTTTACCTTTTAACTTTCAATGTAAATTTATTTTAGGTCACAAGTTGCACTGGACTAAAATGGCCTCTTATGTGGGCCAATTTAGGTATTTTTATCATTATATATAAAGCATGAATATCTGTGCTGCTTTACTGACCAATATTAGTGCAAAGAGTAATATCAAATGTACTATTATCATTGGAAAAAATGCTGCATTTTTTAAATTAAACAACAGAAAGTAACTTTCTGTTTGCTCCCCTACGTTTAAACAGTTGACTCTTTTTCATTTCGACTCAAACAAGAAATCAGAAATTATGACACAAAGTTCACAGTGCAAGTTGCTTTAAAAAGGAGTTATTTACCAGTGCAAAAGCAGCTTGAACAGACAATATTGCATCACTACAGGCACAACGGTGGATGTTTAGACATTCAGTTTGGTCAGAACAGAACAGTGGTCATTATGAATCTCTTAAAAACTATTGACTCTGATGTAAAACTGGACATACTGTAGTCTCAGGGGTTCAGACTTTGGTATTGGGAGATCAACAATACATCCATATAGGAACACCTACTAAGAAAGGCATTCATTTTTATGTAGTATGTACTCAAAAGACCCAATTCAGTGTATATTTCAATAATGATGTCAGTTATATACAAGCAGACATATTCATTTATGAAAGTTACAACTGGCCCACACTGACATCTAGTCCATCCAAAGCAAATGAGGCCTGAGACCCGGCTTCTATGGGTTAAACTTCAAGTGACGTTTTAAAACCACCAATTGTGATCTACTCTGCTGAAAATGTTTTTAACTTGACAAGGTATCTTAAAAACGTGGTGCTCATTTATGGAAAGCCAGAAAGTAAACACAAGAACATGTTTTTGCATGGTTAAGGTGTGGTCAGACTCTGCTTTTCAGGCCCCACTGACTTCCATTCATATGCAGATTAATGCACCAGACCGGAAACGCAAGCTTGTACGAAAAATATCCAGAGTTCTATGCTTGGTGAACCCTGACCTGTAAATTTGAGTCCCATCATCAGGTTTTATCCGGCCTTTTTTAGTCTAGTGGCTTTAAAAGGCTTGGGAACTTTCAAACTTACCATAGTTAAAGGTGCAGTAGGTGACTGTCTTCAGAAACATTTTGTGTTGCGTTGGTTGAAAGTCTCTTTACATTATAATAGTAATGAATAAAGTAAATAATCTAAATGTATTTTTATATATTTTTATTTTCTGAGTGAGGCATAACCCTGAGGCATAAAAAATGTTCATCCAATTAAAAACTCCTCCCGTAATCCCATAATTCTGATAAGTAGCCCAGACTGTCTGTCAGCAAATGTAGATTTGTACAACTGCACACCTCTGTTCACACAGACACCATGGCTGAAGTATTTCTTTTAGACAGGTAATGATAGGTTTTAAAACTATTTTAGTCACACAAAGCTGATGTAGATTGTGTTGTTTTACAAATGTGTTATATGCACAGAAGTGTTGCATTCACTGACATCTTCCAGTGAAAGATGTGACTATTTTCAGTTTCATAAGGTCTTTTAACAGCATTGATAATGTAGATTTTTATTTACTTTATATTTCGATATTCCACCTAGCCTGCTTTACTGAAGTGAAATTGCTTTTATACTCACATTTGTCATGTCATTTTTGAACAATGACAACTTGTGAGGGGCTCCCTAAATTGTTTACCATGCTACTCTAAATATTCAGTCAGAAAACACATGTAAGTATGGCCTAGTAATAAGTGTAATTCCTGCATGCCTCCGGCCAACCACTAAGCATACAGTAGTCACTTTAGGACAAAGCGCATGAGAGAGAGATCAGCGATTCTTACATGAATGAAATATTGCACTTCATGACAAGTTTTGTTTGCTACACAACTGAAAACCTGCTAGATATAATACAGTGTTTTGTTCAAAATTATAGTATTATAAAGTACTATAAAGTTTTCTAACTGGCCAATAACATGATCTAGTGGGCCTCTGTCATCTTTCGGATGCACGTTCATGATTATAAGGAGTCGTGGCTTTGGTCGACGGGAGGGATTGTGCTTTGAACATATTATGCTAATCGGTTAGCATTTAGGCAGATCACCTACTGCACCTTTAACTGTCATTTATGTCCGCCAAGCACGTGTTAAACAATGGTAAATAATAATAAAATAGTAAATAATAATAAAAATAATAATTGGATATCTCATTCTGTGTGAATGGCCTCTTAAAAATACTATCTTTTGTGTCCAAATGAAGAAAGAACTGAAACGGGTTTGGGACAAGTGCAGGCTGTGTAAATGATGACAGAGTTTCATTTTTGGATGAATGATAGTATTTCCAAATTCGTCTCATATGCATTGCCAGTATTAGTATGAAGTGTATGCTGAATTGGGTCTATTTTTACATCACTAAATTAATAAGACACTTTTTTACTGCATAAAGTACCAACGTAGATGGATTGCAAATTCCCATATCTTAACTTATTTAAATGTTTTTCTTTTCTTTTTTTTGTTTGCGAGATGATCTAAATACTTGTGCCTTGAAAGAAATGTAAACCTGACAGAAGTTCTACAGATGTATTGCTTTCCAAGTCTCTGTGCCAGTCACACTAAAAACTATAAAGTGCTTCCAGGATCCCTGTCATTATTTTAAATAATTATCTGCTTTTGAACCTGTCGAAGTTATTTCGACTTCTTTAAGTCCACTATTCCTTGGACTTTGCTTGACTTTCCCAAGCATAAAACTGTCTAAACAACGCTTGACTGCTTCTGATCATCTGTTGGTTCCTCCAGCTTCAAGACTTCTCTGATTCGTTTCACACAAATATCAGCTGCTTCCTGGGTTTCTTTGGAGAGCTGTAATAGGCTCAGGAATCCATGAGGAAGATCCTCCACTACAGTGAGCGTCACTGGCTGGTTCATATTCCTCAGCTTTTTGGCAAACATCACTGAATCATCTAACAGGGCATCCAATGCGGAAGCCTGAGGAGAGGAATCAAAGCATTAAAAATATAGTTAGCTCCAAGTGCAGATTCACCACAGGTTCACAATGCCTTACCACTATATGCACTGGAGGAAGCCCCTTGAGAAGACTGTCTGGAGCAAGAAGTGGAGAAACAAATGGGTTCTTCATAATCGGTGTGCAAGGCGTCTTTATATCCACCAGACAACTAGACCGCAGTGGCTCAAAGTTTTCTGGGTATTCTTTGACTTCTTGCGGTGCTTCCTCGGAATGTGGTTTAAAAGATGAAGGACCGTTTGATGAAGTGGTTGCAGAGGCTGTTGATGAGGATGACGGTGGTGCTTTTGGGTCTAGCAAAGTTTGAATCCAGTTTGTTGCTCCTTGGGCAAATTTACTCAGCATCTTTACGGTGTCCTGTCCCAGAGCTGCCAGGGTGTCCAACTGCTGAGCTGGCTGTACTGACCGACAGCTCAAACCTGATGATGAAATGTGTGACCGAGACATAAAACAAGCAATCGTGAGGGTGCAGTAGATAGACATTTTAAATTGTCAGAATTGTGCTATTTTAAAAGTTCTATTTGTGTTGGTATACATCCAAGTAAAAAACAAACAAACAAAAAAACACGTTGATTGTCTCCTAGTATTCATATCTGCATCCACTCTGTCTGAAAAGTTTCATTCAAGTCCTCTCCTCTGATGACCTGGGGCCTCATGTACGAAGACTTGCGTGGAAATCTTACTAAAACATTGCGTACGCACAAAGCTGTAAATGTGCGTACGCAGAAAAAAATTCAGATGTATGAAACACTGCGTACGCCGAATCCCACACATATTCTTTTGTACATCCGAATGAACGTGAAACTGAGCGCAACATGCACGAGCGCAAAACCCCTCCCTGCCTCCTCCCCCGTATGAATATGCTAATGACTATGCTAATGGCAAAACCCAACGAAAAAGCAATGGCAAAATCAAGCAAGAAGAGAAACTTTGAACAGAATGTGAATTGGAGGTGCTCCTTTCGGAGGTAGACCGGAGAAAAGCGGTGTTATTTGCAAGTTTGTTCTCCGGAATTAACAACAAAAGAAAAAAAATAGAGTGGGAGAGTTTAGCTGATGCGGTTAACACAGTTGGGTCTGAACATCGCACTGAGTGCATTAAAAAAAATAAATAGTGTGGTTTATATTTGTAAAATGTTGCAGCACTCTTAACAGTCTCAGTGGCGCAGCTCGTAAGACGCATGTGATCATGTTTTGACACGTTCGAGCATGAACTCGGCTCGAATCCAGCGTCTGATGAACTCTTTCTTCTTTTTTTCCCCCGCTACATATCAGATTTTGCCCACTATTTATCACGAGAAAGACAAGTAGGAATCATCAATAAGTTTGTGCATATTTTATTTGCACATTTATTGAATGGAAATGTTTCTGATTCACGAATGCAAATTCATCTTCAGATGGTGCCTTTATAGCAATGTGCGTGCAGTAGATCGCTCAGATTACATTGGGAAAACAGGCGACCGCTGCAAATTGTGCTTTAATGTTTAGCTGCTCAACTGTATAGTATGGAAACCTTATTTACCTGCTAGATGAACCCGTCTCATACAGCTGCCATTGCAAGGCTCAGACACTTTGTAGAGAGGAATTTAACACAACTGCCTCTAGGAGTCGCCAATGGAAATAAAACAGACACACACAAAAAATGTGCGTACGCCAGCCAGAAAGCTGCCGTGAAGCTGCGCATATTCCCATGTTCAGTTCATTGTTAGTAAATCCAAACGTGAGCGATTCTGAGCGTGAAACCTGGCGTACGCAAAGTTTTTGTGCGTACGCAGCGTTGATACATGAGGCCCCTGGTCTGTGTGACTGTTTTCCACTTATGCTTTGTTTACACAGTATGTAAATAAAAGTAAGTATCTTAAAAAGTTGATGATAATTTGCGAATAGAGTACAATTTCCGCTGAATGCCACAAACAGAGTTTAAAAAAATCGACTTGAATTTTAAAGTTAAAATTAAATTAGTATGAAGTGAAAGGCACCCTGTGAATAAACTAGAAAAAAGTGTCCTGATGTTCAAGTTCTCTTTGCTTTTGGTGTGAACCCAGCATTACAGCCAGTGTCAGAGACTTCCACAGCACTTATCTACAAAGTGATGGATTGGATTTGCTTTATATAATCATGGTGTAATCACTTTCCGGCCATCGGACATTAGGCATATATATATATATATATAGTTAAAACCAGAAGTTTACATACACTCTAAAAAAGGAACATAACCATTTTTTTTTTAAAAATGTGTGAGGGTAAATCATACTAAACCTTTACTATTTTGGGTCCGTTTGGTTTACCTATATGATTAAGATTTGCTAAATGCCAGAATATAGAGATAATTTTATTTGAGAATTTTTTTTTATTAATTTCTAGACAGTCAAAGTTTATAATTATTTCCTTGGTATTTTTGTTTTAGCTTTGCTTTAAAACTGTAAACCTTTGCTCAAATGTTTTGGGTATCCTTCCACAAGCTTCTTACAAAAGTTTGAAGGAATTTTGGCCCATTCCTCCTGACAGAATTGATGTAACTGAGTCAGATTTGTAGGCTGTCTTGCGCGCACAAGCTTTTTCAACTCTGCCCACAAATTTTCTATAGGATTGAATTGAGGGCTTTGTGATGGCCACTCCAAAACCTTAAAGCACATTTTAACTAATTTGGCAGTATGCTTAGGATCATGGTTTGTTTGGAAGACCCATTTGTGGCCAAGTTTTATTTTCTGGCTGATGTTTTGAGATGTTGCTTCAGTATTTCTACATAATGTTCTTTCTTCATGATGCCATCTATGCTTAGTTCCAACAGACCACAGGACATGTCTCCAAAAATTATTATTTGTTCCTGTGTAATTTAGCAAATTGTAATCTGGCTTTTTTGTTGATTCTGGCTTGTAGATTTTCCCATGTTGTCACACAATAAAGCAGTGTGTTTGAGGTTTTCCTTAAATGCTATTCTACAGTTATGCTTCTAATTAACTCAAATGTTGTCAATAAGCCAATCAGAAACTTCCAAAACCTTGACACCATCATCATCTGAGCTTTTTCAGAGGCATAATAATCTTATTGTTTGTAAATTTGACTGTCAAGAAAAGTTATTTTACGGTGGCGCAGTGGGTAGCACGTTCGCCCCATGTTTGCGTGGGTTTTCTTTGGATACTCCGGGTTTCCCCATAAGTCCCCCTATAAGACATGCGGTATAGAAAAATTAAATAAGAACTAAATTGTCTACTAAATTGTTTCCAAGTTATGGGTTGCAGCTGTAAGGGTATCCGCAGGGTAAAAAACATATGCTGGATAAATTGGCGGTTCATTCTGCTGCTAAAAATACACCTCTCTACCACTTCAGTTGAAAAGATTGTTAGCAAAGAATCTACTCATTTTTTCATATTTTTTTTGTCAAATAATATATGATTATGATTTCAGAGTACATCACACCCTGTGTGTGGGTTTATTTGTGTAAGAGCAGTCGGTCACTGAATATATATATATATATTGATATTTATTGAAAACTGTACATAAATATATATCATTTTGTTTATAATTAGTTTCCCCTATCTTCTTTCTCAAATAAAACAACAGTATCTTCTCATGAATATGTTAAATGATTAGAGACACAGCATGGCCTTGTGCAAAACTGCTTTCACTGAAGTTTCAAATATATTCCACTGCTTTTTATTTGGAGAATCTTGACATCCAGTTTTGCAGTTGTTTATTACTGTAAAGCTGCTTTTTTTTTACGGTGACTCACCAGCATAGGCGTCGATACACTTGTAGAGCACACTTAAAGGCAGCAGAGGGTCGATTAAAGTGAGCAGTCTAGATGGTGAGGCGTCTGTTGTTAGTAAAGTCGCTGGATACGCTGCCACAATCCCATCAGGAACACGTACACCATGAGACATGGCCCTCATAGATACTGTTATACACAGGTTACCGCCTGCACTGTCTCCCACCAAACAAACATGCTCTGCTGTCGAACCTGTGAAGTAAAATTGACATTTTCTTTGTCATATCCATATCTATTATTATGCTCACACAACTAAAAGAACACATTTTGAAGTAGTTCTTTAAAGAGTCTTAAATGGATAAATTATACCAGATATATATACATATATATATACAATATTTTTAAAATTACTACATAAATAAAATTTTAAAAAACAATTACTCAATGTTAGTAGTTTCTATCTAGAAAGTGGTGTATTATACAAACCCAGCAGGTGGCAGTTCTTCAAGGCCCAGCAGTAGGCGTAGAAACACTCTTCTAGAGCGCGGGGGAACGGGGCCTCTGGAGCCAAAGAGTAATCCACCGACAGGATGGGCACATTCAGATCTTTAGACCAGCTCTTTAAATAATTCTACAATAGAAACAAAGGCCCTGTTAGCACCTGGTGTTATAATGCATATTGGTCAATGGGATCACAAATAAACAAAGGAGACTAAGGCCCCGTTTACACTAATGCGTTTTTGTTTTTTAAACGCATAAGTTTTGCTACGGTTACGCCATCTGTCCACACTACGCTGGAGTTCTCGAGTGCCGAAAACGGAGCGTTTTGAAAACGCTGCTGCTCCGTTTCAGTGTGGATGAGGAAAAACGAAAGCGGGACTGCTGAGATTCGCTTCCTGATTGGGGCTTTTGTGTCATTGCGTATCCTTCCCTTATTCGTCAAGCCCTATCACATGACTATAACACATGGCTTTAACGCTACCGGAAAACAGTACTGTAAACAACAACATGGGCACAGAAATTGGAGCTTTGTTTGCACTATTGTCTGTTTTAGGCGCCATTGTGCAGTTATTCATTTGTTTCGTTTAGTAACAACTCGACCTCGTCATCTGTTCACAAAAATACCTCTCTTGCTTTCTTTGCCATCACGTTTAATGTACAATTGGCGTTTGTTGACTAATAATAACCAAATGCCGAGCGAGACGCATGCTTTCTGTGTATACTAGAACGCTCATGCCCAGAGTGCGCGAATGGTCACGTGATATGCGTTTTTGGTGCCGTAGTGTGGACGGAGTTATGTTCAGAGACGCTAGGTGAAACGCTAGTGTGAGCGCGGATCGTTTTTGATCTAAAACGCCGTTTTAAAACTAAAACGCACTAGTGTAAACGTCCCATTAGTCCCATTTACACCAATTTTGTCGACTTTGACTAATTATTTGTTTCCCACTTGGTATTGTTTACCCAAAAGTGGTTCTTTATTCTGTTAAACACTGAAAACATGTGAACACTGACTTCCATAGTAGGAAAAACTAATACTATGGAAGTCAATATTTACAGCTTTCTTTAAAATATCTTCTTTTTTGTTCAACAGGAAAAATAAAGTAAAAAAAACCTACATACGGTACCTTTAAAACATAGGTAATTAGGAAGACAGTATGTGTTTTTTTTTACCCTATTCAAAAGTATTCGATCATATGAGTGTTTACACTACCAAAGCAATCAAGTTGAATGTTTCTCTCATCTCTGGAAGTGACCGAAAGACCCCATTTACACTTGTGTTTAGCATTGACCAAATAGAAACATTTAGTAGAGCTGTGATCGGGCCATAAAAATTAGGCTTGATAGGGCCTGAGCCCGACAAAAATGATAGAAATTAAGCCTAAACTTGTCGGGTCCCGTCAGGTTCAGGCAAAGATCTTCAGCTCTAACATCTATCTAGTGAGCAACCTTATACAGGAAGATGACACTGCCACAGCCATACCTCATGTGATTTTGAAGTTTGTGCAACAAATCCTCCTCCATGGAAGTGTATGAGCAAGCATGGAGAAAGAGGAGCTGTCTGACGATTGAAACCCCCTGACAGGGAGAGTTGAGGACCCTCGGGACGAGAAAGTGACAACAGTTCGGCACTGTCCTGTGAGAAGAGATTAAACATGAAGGATGTTAAATAATTATGTCAAAAATGCAAATGATTTGAGGTCAAAACCTTTTAATCCATTTGACATCCATACATTGATGCCATTTTGACATATGAAGGCTTCAATTCCAAATTTACATTGGATTTTGTTTACCTACAATGTATGCAAACAACAAGTTAACATCTAACACTGGCATCAAAATACATCAAAAATGTTTTTATGATCACCAGTGTTTGATCAAATAGATTTTTAACATGATTTTGATCAAAGTGCCTGCTGTGTTTAAAGCCCCAATATCAACATTGACTATGCAATTTTTAATCATCTAAGTGTGTGTGTGTGTGTGTGTGTGTGTGTTTGTGTTTGTTTGTGTGTGTGCGCGTGCGTGTGTGAATTTCCCAAAGTAGCAGTTTTGGATGCACACATTCACAACTGAGATTATATATTTATCTTTTCTTTTTGATCAAGCACACAAACCTGTCCTTGCCGGAGAACGTGCGAGATCAAGCGCACATTGACTGGTCCAGGGCCCCAGTGTGCAACCGGAGGCTTCACAGCCACTGAGAGACTGGGGTCAGAGGCCAGAGGCAAACTCAGACTCTCAGCTGGAACAGTTAGTGTTACATTCACCTGCACCACACTAGAGGTAATCCTTGTCAAGCCCTTTAAAGAATAAAGGAAATTAAAAAAAAGAGAACAAAAGTGACAATTCAATTTATCTTCAGTTTAAGGTCAGTCAGAAATTAGTGTATCTATTTAGTAAATATGCGTTACCTTAGATCACAGGTGTCAAACTCAGTTCCAAAAGGGCCGCAGCTCTGCACAGTTTAGTTCCAACCCTAATCAAACACACCTGATCAAACTAATTGAGTCCTTCAGGCTTGTTTGAAACCTACAGGTAAGTGTGTTGGAGCAGGGTTGGAACTAAACTGTGCAAGGCTTCGGCCCTCCAGGAATTGAGTTTGACACCCCTGCTTCAGATGAACATAATGTGTCATTTACAATTCTGTAATTGTGTTTGAGCAGGAAAAAAAGATATGCAAAGTCATAAAGCATCTATTTCAATGAGCACCCTTCTGAACGCCTTTAAACGCTACACTTGGAGTTCTGAATTGTCTTTCGTGAATAAGATCTCAAATTCAAACAATTCAAAAACCAGCCTAAAATTGTGTTAGTAGTGTGTTGTTACCATTTCAGAGAGACACTGTTTCACAGATTTATATACTGATACATGGCAAGGTTGACATTTGCATGCAATCGCTCAAATATAGGTCCTGGGGCCTCATGTATCAACGCTGTGAACGCACAAAAATTTGCGTACGCCAGGTTTCATGCCCACGTTTGGATGTGGCCCCAGGTGTTTATGTGCTGTTCTGATGGAGGTTAAACAAAAATAGAAAAGCTTATGTGAAAACTACACAAAGAAAAAGCATGAGGGCGACTTCTTCTGTGCTACAAGTGAGTGTCAAAAGCATAAAGTTGTTGTTTTTCATTAAGCTCCATCTAATGTCAGGATTTTGCACTTTCACTCAGCTCATCGACAGTGTAACCTGCTTGAGCATGAATGTTGACAAAAAAATGCTAGTGATAAGCAATACACATCCAGGTGTGCACAAGGCTTGTGCACAAAATGAGCAGCTGATTTGCTTTTAAAGAGACACAGCGTGTAGTTGCTTGCACCTAAAAAACATTAAGAAGAACAAATATGATAATAAATTATAATTTTGAGCTGAAACTTCACAGGCACATCTTGATAACACCTGAGACTTATATTATTTCTATGGTAAAAATGGGTGCCCTATAATGAAAATTTGGGTACACCAAAGCATAGTAGAATAATAAAAGATCAGTATATGGAAATGGGCATACTGTGAGCCTCAGACACCACTGTTTACTCGTTATTACACTCAAGTGTAAAACCCTGGTGGAAAATTGGCTAATCAGAGGACAAAACAAACTATGACGAGGATGCAAAAAGCAAGATTTACAGATTATACATTTATTTGGCTCCATTCGAAGAGGCATAAGGTATGTTTTATTGCATCTTTTGTTAATTTATAATGTTTATTGTGCAATTTGAAACGCATGTTTCAACAAATACATGTAGACTGCTGAATTGTGTCAAATCACTCAGATCAACTGTCATCTGTTTTCAACAACATTAAAGCTTAAAATACAACACGATACATCTCTGTCACTCTCTTCTGTCAAGTTTAATTATAATCTAGCCTTTATCCACATCTCGTGAGCAAAACCAATTAAACCAATGTCGTATATGGCACCTTTAAAAACGAAACTATACTATACTTATCCCTAACACATAACAATAGTAGAATACAACAAGACAGAAGTTGTTTGTGTTTCATCAGTACTCACACACAGTCTTGTACTTACTGATAAAAGTTCAGTCTCTGTAATATTCCAAAAGGTTTTCCAAAACTGCATATCGAGATTTTGAGTGATGCGCTCAAACTCCGCCCCCCTCAGTTCAGGGTCCACCACATATTTGCCCGATGTAAAAAAAGAAAGAGCAGCGATGCCTGAAAAAAAGAGCAAACCGCAGTAATAAAAGATCTTTAAAGGAGCTGGAAGAGATTAATGTAACTACAGCTGTGTTTTTTGGGGATAACGCACATATATGATAATAACAATAATTATGGGACTTAATGATGAGAATTATTTTTGATAAGAATTATTTAAGACTTTAAATAAGAAATAAACACTTTAATTAATACAAATAATTAATGATGTAACAGGGTTTTACAAAACGCTAAGAATTTACTCCTATAGCCAGTGGAAAATATTTTTAGTTTCCCCATTAAAATTCTAATTTAGCTATTGCTTAGGCACATATTTTAACTAATGTGTAAAAACAAGCCAACTCATGATATATACATATACACGTACTGCATTAGTTTTCTTAAAAAAAAAGACAATTTTTAAAAATGATGATAAACTAAAGTAAACAGTTTGTCCAGGTCAGCGTCTTCACCAGACCACACTAAAAAAAATACATGGAGAACCAGTGTTATTGTTAGGACGATAATTAAACCAAATTGGTGCATAGAGTTAATAAATGTATCTTTTGTCAAATGTTTTTTTTATAATTGTTGGTTGTACCGGATAGCTTTACATGAACAAGAGAAAAATTAATACCTGTTTAAAATGACAACACCATGGCTGTTTCTCAATATGTGTTCTTCAGCATTTTTGCATCCTCGTGTTCTCGTGTAATGCCATCATCAGTTCAGTTTCAAAACTCAAGACCGCAAGAGCGGAGGATGCGTGAGAGTTCCCGGATGTGTTCTTGATATAAAGGATGCGTTGATGCAGACTTGAGCGCTACAACTTGCTTGAGAAGTGCCAGAAGTCATTGCGTTTGAATAAAGGAGGTGGGAAGCACAACATTTATATATATATATATATATATATATATATATATATTTATTATTAAAGTTCAGAGATAATACTTATTTGTCTCCGGAGTTTCCCTAAATGAGACTGTAAAAGTGACCATTACGTTCACACTGCGAGGCTTAGTACTTAAATCAGATTTTTTCTTAGATCAGATTTATTTTGCACGGCTGTTTACACTGCTCTTATAAATGTGGCCAATATCAGATTGGAAGTGTGAACAGATCATTGTTCTAAACTGACCCGTATGCACAAAAGTACACTTACAGAGAGCACAACATGTCTAATTATGCACACTATGTGTATACTGTATGAGGTAAGCACGTTGTCAGATCATTTTTATAAGATTATTAGCCTTTTCACAGACAACCGTGTTCTGAACCGGCTTGTTCTGCTACTACTAATGTGTGTTTAGACATTGAGACCTAAAATAAGTCATTGAAAACACTGATTATTTGTGTTTTATGAGAATCGCGGTGTGTGGCACTCTGACCACTGGTTTACTAAACTCATAAAGAGTTAATGAGCAGCCGCAGACTGAACTGTGAAGGCGGAGTTGGTTTATCTTTGTTTGCAAAGTTATTTCATTTTACTTCGTTATAAACAGCAGACACGTGCAGAAGGGGGGTTTGGGTGCTCGAGCACCTGCCCTTTTTTCTCTGGAAGAGAATGTTCCTCCTCCCTTGCACACGGATTCCCTATCCACAACACCCACGAAACTCTTCGGCTTCGCTATCAACCTGTGCCTCAGTCGTTAACCAGATTAGTTAACAAGCACCAATTTTTCTTTCAAAATTTTTTAAAAATGAACAACCAACTCTCTGTGGTAATCGCCCTGTGTGCCATTCTACTGTGCTGCTGAGGAGTAGATGATGTCTGCAGCACAGAATGATGACGCAGTTTTTATGTAGAAGTCACATGAAATCCGACATAACCGTTCACACTGCAGTAACATTGCAAACCATCAGATCAAAAATCATTTTCCTTTAAAGAGCCCCTATTGTGGGTTTTCGAAAATGAGCTTCCATGTAGTGTGCAACACAGATCTAAGTGAAGTGAAATATCCAGCTAAGGCTTAAATCTGAAAGTGGACAGTTTTTAAAACTATTGATTCATCTAAAAAAAGAGTCGACTCATAGTGGTTAGAATGAATCGTCTTCATAACGAGTCTTTAGCCGTTTCGGCGTGACGTGACTACGAAACATTGTTGTTATGGGCGCAAACCCGGGAAAATTTAAACCTGCGCCCCGCCCACTAACACGGCCGCGAAGACAAACAAATCCTGAAGTCATGAGTCAATAAGACGCTGTGTTTACCTGGATATTATTGGAAGTGTGAGGGGAAATAATTGATTCAGCAGTCTACAAGCTTACAGTGGGCGATTCATTCATTTGTTAAAGGAAGGATCAGAAAAGACTGATGTATGAGACTTGTGAGAATGGGCAGACAATACACAAGGGGTGCTTGCAAAATAAGGCCAGTTTATTAGGCACAAAGGCAGCCTGCTACACGCTGGTGAGCACTACAACCCCCTGGCTGGGGATGGGATCTTTGGGCAAAGCAGAGTACAGGTAAGCCCTGAGAACACTTCACGCAAGAGGTGCCACAGCAATAATTGCAAATAGAAATGATCTAAGTTACAGCTGAGAAGGGAGAAAAGCTCGGTCACGGAAATTACGCTCAGTAAATGATGTGCACGCTATCGGTTTCATTTTCAATGCTAAGTGCGGTTCATACTTCCCGTGCGGGGGGTTATGACAGTCACAGGGTTACGGCGCGGGCCCGTCCGCCGGGGGCTTGATGAACCGCGCTGGGCATTTGTCTCGCGCTGGGCATTTGTCTAGTGCTGAACGCTGTCGACCAATCGCAACAGGCTGTCATCGGTCCAATCAGCGCAGATTAGCTTTGCGCTAAGGAGGGGTTTGGGATCTATTAAATCGCTGAACGATTAATATGGGAGTCGCTGGGATAATTGGGTAAAAATAAATGCATATTATAAGACAATGAAAGTGTTTTTTGACCTTGCATGCATATCAGTGTGTTGCTGGAGACCCATATAACCGAAATATGACCCTTTTTCATGTATTATATGGGCTCTTTAAAAACCTGTGAAGCTTATGTGACCATCAGTAAGAACGCAGCATCTCATTTCTCACAGGACACGTTCTCTGTTCCTGCGGTCTCTCGAGTTCGCTCTCGGGAACGATCTCCACAAGAACAGGAGTTCATCCTTTGCGTTCTTGGAATTGAGAAACAGCCCATATATCAGTGAATTTAAGGCTTTAGGACCCCGCTGACACCCTGTATAAAAGCTCTAGGGTCATTTATTTGTCTTAGGAATTGGGCATTGAAAAGCTTGTGATGAGATTCAGACTTAAACTGACACAAACACAGATATTACAGTACAAAAACAGGATTGTAGAAATGTGTACACTTGCCATATTAGGCATAAATGCAGAGAACTCATATCTAAGTGATGTGCTGTTTGAAAACAATCCGCTTGTTAAGTGGTGACATGTTGGTGATGGATGTAATACTGTTTCCGGGTCCAAGCCGCCACTCATTTGAGTTAAGAAATTATTTGTTTATGATCACTTTTAATTCATATCACACATTAAAGCTAATTTTATATAAGGTCATAGTGTAAACAATAATCTCTGGGCTTGCTGCATCACAAATACCAAAATTTTAACAATTTATGAAAAAAATGAATGACTTTCTGGCCATCGGATATTAGGCATGGACATATATATTGCGATCGTGATTTTCGAAAGTATTAAATCGCTTTGTAAAAGTTTATAATTACCACTTCATGAGTCTCCCCATACATTTGAATAGAGCTCTTGGACCCGAAAGCCGCTTCGCGTAACGTCACAGTTAACAAGCGGATACAAACGCACAATAGTAAATACTTGGATAAGCCTCTCCAAGTCTGCGCTTACCTAAACCAGTCTGCTGTTTCTTGTAGTTTTCTCCAAAAGACACCATACTGATGACCACAGTCTGTAAAAAAGGCCTGAGAGAGGGAGAGAACTTGGAGAAGAGACAACAGATACCTTTTAGTGTTATAAAAAAAACAAAAAACATTTAAATGATGGGTGAACTTTTGTAAAAAATAAATATTCAGATGATTTCACCTGGAAGCCCAAGCAGCGGCCATAGAAACAGGCTTTGTGCATGGAGATGTACTCTTGCACAAATCTCTCGCTTAAACCTCCTTCCTCTTGTGAATAGAGCTGACCGTTGGGATTGTCATTCAGTAATACCTGTGCCAGGTAAAGTAATGCCCGCAGCTGGCACAGGGCACTACAGTACGCTTCCATTTCTGCCACATTATGGTCCATACGGAAAAACGCTCCAGTGCAGTTTGATGCAATGTAACGGGCCTTATGGGTAATGTGGATGATACAGGAATGAACCACCTATCAATAAAAAAGAGAAAACAGTCAATGATGACCTTATGTGGATATTAAAGGGGTGGTGAATGAAAATTCTGTCATCATTTATTTACTCATGATTAGTTGCAAACTTGTTAGAAAAAGATACAAAGAAGATATTTTGAAGAAAGCTGGAAACCGGTAACCATCGACTTCTCAAGTATTTAAATTTGCTACTATGAATGTCAGTGGTTACTGGTTTCCAACACTGATTAAAACTGAGAAAAATAAATAAATAAAACTGGTTCAGTAAATTTTGGAGAAGGTGCTCGCTGCAGAGCCAATTAGGGGGAGCTAGAGCTCTAGCTCCCCCTCGCTGGAGCTAATGGGTGGGGCATACACGTCATCGGTCCAAGTGGTGCTCGCTGCGGGAAGCCTCCGTCCAAACTGTACAACCTGCATGGCACGGTAAGACATCTGAACCATACCTGTCAACCCTCCCGTTTTTCCCGAATTTCTCCCGTATTTTCAGTCTTTCTCTGAAACGTGGCAAATACACATTAAAGAGGCGAGCATCCCCATACTCAACCCATACCGCCGAACCATCAGGGGCCGCCCTTACTCTTAAATGTGAGTGTTCTGTGCTTTCGCTTTGTTCGGACATAAAAACACGTTAAAATATACACAAAACGGCGTCGGTGGAAGGGCATATCCCTTTTTTTCCCCAATGTTGAAAGGTATGATCTGAACTGTAAAGACAAACTGAGATGTGTATAAAATCTAAATCTTACACTTATCACTGTTTCAACATGACTATTGACCCCTGAAACATTAATCGCGAGTGTTTTGGCATAACTATCAATAGCTAGTAAGCACTAGCATCCCCCCATGTTACGTTTTATGTGTAGTGTTTTATTTAATAATAGTTTTTTAATTAAATGTTAGTATTTGTTTAACTTGCACAGATGCATCAGACAGTACTTTTGCAAGGACAGGATCCACAGCAGTCTATCCAGAGATGTACAGAGTGTTGCCAAAAATACCACTGTGCCTACTGTAAATTTGTGTGTCGACATTTACATGAGATCCGAAATCATGTAGCTAATCACATGCGAAATGCAGTTAAAGAAAAAGGTATGTGTTTGATTTTTTTTTATTACAGTACTGTGGGTGTGAGAAACAAGTCGTACTTGTTACTCTGAATTTCACATACTTTGCTTAATTTTTTTTGTTATTGGTTTCTGCAGTACATTAATTAATTGGAATCATTATAAATATTAAAAACAAGTATATAAATACTCTTAACGTGGCAATCAGCCTACAAGGGTTAATCTAGAGTTTGTCAGGCATTTGTTCCAGCTGAGTAGTAGCATCTTCAGCTAATACTATATTATATTAAAATATATTAATTATATATTAATAGATTATATATTAATCATGGCTTAATTTGATAGAATTACATGTGTTCTGTTTGGACAGAACAAAACTTTCACACACACTAGCCTTAATGTTTGGTGGGAGTGTATAAAAAAATAAATTAAAAGAAGGATATTAATGTTGTTGTGCTCTTGAGTGAGATGTTTCAACACAAAACCTAAGCTTAGGCGATGCACTGTATTAAACGTGTAAACAAGACAATTTGGCTAATTTTATTGTTTCTACGTTTTAGATTTTATCATCATCAAGTGTGGTCTAAAGTGCAGGCCATCACCACATTTTCACTGCTGTTACTGTTCATCAACAGTAATTAGACGCGACAATCTTATTACACATTTTAAAATCTGTAAAAATTCAGCATCTGGACAATCACTATCCCCAGCATCAACAGCACCACCTCCATCTTCAGCATCAGCCGCACCATCACCAGCATCAGTAGCACCTGAACCATCACCAGCATTACCACCACCAGAACCATCAGCAGCTCCAACACCACCACCATCCCCAGCAGCACCAGAACCATTACAAGCAATAGCAGCACTACAATCCCCAGCATCAACAGCACCACCATTCCCAGCAGCAGCACCACCACCATCCCCAGCATCTGCAGCACCACCACCATCCCCAGCACTACAATCCCCAGCATCAACAGCACCACCATTCCCAGCAGCAGCACCAGAATCATTACAAGCAATAGCAGCACTACAATCCCCAGCATCAACAGCACCACCATTCCCAGCATCAGCACCACCACCATCCCCAGCATCTGCAGCACCACCATCATCCCCAGCACTACAATCCCCAGCATCAACAGCACCACCATTCCCAGCATCAGCACCACCACCATCCCCAGCATCCGCAGCACCACCACCATCCCCAGCAGAACCAGAACCAACCACAGCATCATTTTCAACAAAAAGATTACGTGTCCGACAGCAAGTCAGGGTGACTTGCACACACTGTGGCATAAAAATAAATCAAAGGAACTTGCGGGTTCATATCAACCGAAGACACAGGCAAAGGGTAGAGGATATTACAGCAAATCGACATTTATCAAGCCAATGCATTGATGCCAAAAATGGCATCTTTGCTGTTGATAAATCATTCTTTAAGCCATGCTCTCCGATACATGTTCAAAAAAAAACATGGGGTGCAAGCCAAAAAATAATCTGTGAATTAGATGAATGCAACACAAATGCTGAATTTGCAGTTAGGAGTGGAATTCTTCCTTATGAGTGCATTCATCTTAAGTCATTACTCTTCTGTCCCCTCTCAGACATTACACCCATCATTTTAGATGAAGAGGTACTGACAGAAATGGTTACTTGCAGGTTTTTTGGGGATGCAAGGAAGCAGAACTGCTTAAACCTACAAAAGGCAGCTACTGATGCAGGTGTTCCACTTTCTGTTGAGATTACTGTTGCAGGGCCACCATCCAAAAAGTTCATTTCAATATATGAGCCAAAAGTGTCATACCACAGCAGACTGGGTAGGGTAATAGCAGCCTTTGATGCAAAAAAAAAGTCCTGGCACTGTCCATGTGCCAAAGCAAGACAGTCATGTCTTCATAAATCAATTGCAAAATGGCATCTTTTTACTACTGACCGAGATCTGTTCATGACTGCAGCGAGTGATATTACTCCAGATTCAGTAGTGAATAATCAAGAGACAGATTCTGTATCCAAAGCAGTGCCAGGTATAGATGAAGGACATGCATATCCTCCTGATGATGCAGGCCTTCAAAAGATGGTTCACTATTTAGTGAAAAAAAAAGCTCTTCCTGCCCAACTGCCCCAGCATTTGGTTACTGGTTCCAAATCTTTGCAAGATATTCCAAGGCAGTTAATACCAGAAGAAACATCATGCATGGAGTGTGCCGGGCAACTTACTGAGCCACTGCTCATAACAGCAGATGCCAAACTTGTTACTTATACTGGCGTTGTAAATGGTGAGACATGTCAAAATATATCATCGAAATCATTTTAGCTGTATTTCTAATGTTCAAAAACAAAGCAGAGGTCAGTGCACAGTGGACTGCTAGATGATAGAAAGCAAGCAATAATGATACAGTACTTTTTCTTTTGCTTTCGTTTTTTAGGCTTTTCTACATACTGCAAGGAATGTCCTGACTGTGGGATGATGTACAGATATCAAGAATGGAGTAATGGAATTCACAATTTCAATGACCATATACTCCTTACCCTTCATTTGTGTATTGTACTACGTGGATCACTTCAGGTAAGAAAAAACATTAATTAATGTTTTGCTGTTCTTATTTTATGAATGTGTGCCTTACTATGTTTTATACTTTCTTAGACTCACCATTCTGTAAGCCGAGCAATTGAAGTCATTGAGCAAACAGAAAACAAGACCCTCCCTAGAAAAGCCACAATACTTCATGCCTATATGCACTTTGAAGCCATGACTTCACACGACTACTTATATACTTGTTACAAATGTGGATACTATCCACCAGTGGTGGTCATGGACCTTCACAGAAAAGGTGTATTCAATATGCCTGGTAAGTAACAGAACTAACAGCTTTTAATTAATAAATGAAAAATGACAATACATTTTTAATACCATGCTTAAATCTGCAGTAAGTGAAATGGAGGCTCCACCAGCACACTTTGATGGCACTGTTAATATTAAACAATTTTGGGACTCTGTGACGGCTGAAATTGTTTGCAGCGGATTTCTTACCTGTAAGTTGGCCTCCTACATATCTACTTAAGTCTCTTCACGTAAAGTATAGGACTTGTCTATTCCCCAATAGATTGCAGCAATAGTATTGTGATATACACTTTGCATGTTACTACGATTGTTTTGTCTTTATCACAATTGTGATACAACATTCTTAACTGAAAGTAAATTTAAGTGTGGGTTCACACAAGTTGCTAACTTTTGATCCTGTTGCTGTATTTACTCATAGTTGTTTGTTATTGACTATAGCTCCATGGTGTTTCCAAAATAAAAAAATAAAAAACATGCGTTTTGTAATGATGCAGTTTTTTTTTTTTTTTTTCAATTTCAAGGTGGTCGACAGAACCCGTTTGTGGTTGTTCCAAGTTATAACAACTGGGCTCCTTGGATTGGACCAAAAACCAGAAGGGATGAGACAGTTTTAAACACAGAACATGAAAAGCTTCATGCACCAAGACAGGCTACTGAAATGGCAGATCTCCAGATGACAGAGGAGAGACTTCAAGATGCACTAATTAATCTCAAGGTAATAGCATGTTACACTGATTATTGATTCACTGTGTTTGAATTAAGCTAAATATTATTTCTTCTTAAAATAATAGGTGGACATGGTTCGAAAACTGTGCAAGCAATGTGGCTTGGACTCAAAAGGCTCAAAAACAGACCTCATCCTAAAACTGCGGGATGAAATGAAGAACAGGTCATCTTATGATAAGATCTTTGAGAAGGTCTGGGGAGCTTCAGGTAAGATGCATCTTTCACTGTGCAATTAGATCTGTAGCTGTGTCTGTTTATTCCACAGTGTTAAAAAGTCCTTCTGCCAGGAGAATGTAATGTTTGTAGGTCAAGCATACAAGTAGCAGTTATTAAACATTGTTTATGTAAGTTATATTAAATGAATTATGTGTTTTCTATAGGTGGTTGGGCAGCTGTTATGTGCCCCTGTGCAGTGGTGTACTCCATAAAATTTAACTTAAGAGCAGAGAGTCCCAGAGACTATGCTGACATGTTACTTAGCTGGAAGCACTTTCCAAACATAGCCATATACGACTTTGCAAGAGGACTGGCAACACATACTAACTTGAGGGAGCCTGAAAAAATGCCATTTAGCCCACACGAGGGCCGACTGGCTGAAGCAACCACAGACAATCTACAGCTGGCTGGTGAGGGAAAGCTAAAGGTCAGTTTACCTTGGCTCAAAACAAAGAAAACAGATTCAGACACAAACTGCCACCCGATCACTGGGTCATCTGACCACTACACCCTATATGACATTTTCCATGAGAGGAATACAAAGGATGCTCGAGATGCCCTTCGGAGGATTGGACTTGTCCCAGAACTGGCTGGCTGGGTTAACAGCCAGTGTGCTGAGCAGTTATTTGCAGACATGAGGAAGAACAATTATTTTTTGAATACCCTCACACCCTCTCAGCACATCTTTATGATGCGGAACATACTACAACACTACAACACAAATTGCAACATTAAAACTAAAGCCAGCATCCAGAAAGTAGTAGGCAAAGATGTTCAGTTGCAGTTGGATCACAACGGTCAGATAGTAATGGGTAAGTAAATTAAGGTGTTTATTTTGTCAGTTGTTTAACATTGAATTTTTAACTGTATCATTTTCTTATAATCTGTACTGTTGTTGTTTTGTTTTCTTTAATTACAGGAAAAGCTGCACAGATACCAACTGAAGCAGGTGAACCAATACAATACAGTGAGTGACAGAAAACTAAGTAAAGAGCAATAATACATCTGGATTTAACAGTATTAATCTTCTTCATCTTGGGGAATATTTTATGATACTTCATTTTCTACTGCTCCTGTTTTCACATCAGGAGTTTAGATCAAGAAATATTTTTTTTAAAACTTGTGATTGTACACTACTTGTCTAACTAAGCTAAAAACAAGCTTTACTAAGAGCATAAAATATCATTTAAAATATGGATCTTCTCTTAAGACTGTACTATCCCATCTCACTTAGTTCAAAGTGCAATGACAAGCCAGACAGATGAACAAGCAAGCAGGAGGATATGGGATGTTGACTATCTCCCAGCAGAACAGAATTCGGTAATTTATTCATATTGCATTGATTGTCATAAGTATTTTTTATCTGAATTACTGTTCATATTGGTTATGTTTTAATGAGTTATATAACAATGTTTATTTCATTTTATCAGCTGGCTTATGTCTTGGATAGAGCCAAAGATCCAAGTGAGGATTTACTTCAGCTGAGCCCAGTCCAAACATTAAAGAGAAGTGACTTTTGGTCTTTGGCCTTTGATGAGTTAGAGGCAACGGTAAATGTCCATTCATAAACATTATTATGCTGTTGACATAGGGTTGATATGAATGCAAATTTACTAATAGTCATTCTTTTATTTATGATTTTTTTTTAAACTAGATTGCTAATCAGTGCTTTCAGCTCATAGCTACACTTGCAGCTTCACAGGTCAGTTTTATAGCATTTGTTCAGTAATTCAGTAGTTCAGTAATTGTTTAGGAATTTAGAGGTTATGAAAATGTTCCAATGTCATACTGCACTATGTGTTTCTATCTTTTTTAGGGCAAAGATGTGTTTGCTGTCAACAGTTATGTGGTGGTCACGTGGTTGCCTCCATATAACAATGATCCTCTGCCAGCTTTACCTGTTAGTATGCTTTAAAACATGTGGCATACACATTGTTATAGTTTGCTTTTTTGCAATATGAATTGTTAGTGCAAGAAATCATTAATCTTATACAGGATATTCATCATCATAACTGTGGTTCACCATGATTCTCATCTTACAGGATGATGCTGCAACCAAGGACTTTATTTTACTTCCCTCATTGGAGTCAGGGCATTGGATTATATGTGTAAGTTATATTTTTCCATACGTTCGCCTGCTATGCATTATGTAATTTTACTTTTTGGTTGTTATGGCAATAATAACACAAGACTGCATTACGATCTCTCGATTGGTCCAATTCTGAAGGATGCACCAATATTTTGGTAATTGAAAAGTTTAAAGATAAAAGTCACAAACTAACCAGACATCTCATGTTGTGGAGTGTAGGTTTGTTGGTTAACTTGTTTAACATAGTTTCAAAATAAATTTGAAAGTTAGTTTAAGGTCAAGTTTGCACATCATCATAATGTGTTTTAAAACAAGATGTTAAGTCACACTAATGGAAGGAAATTACTTTACAAATGTAAAGTATTTTAAGATTATTAGAATCAGTATTTTCATTTTTTTCTTTGGCCAAGAATTTTCTTCTTCTGTGCATCACCAATTTCTAATGTCATTTTCTTTTACAGATCCTCAAGCCAAAGTCAAGAGAGATTTTATTTTTTGACTCCATGAATCCTAGAGACTTTGGACATCGGAGCTACATTCAGATTTTCAGGTTTTCCCCTGAGGATAGCACATTTCAAGTTTTACCTTTCTGTGTTCATACTAATAACATGCATGGGTTTGAAGATAATACTAACACAAATTAATGTCTTAAGTAAACCAGCTTGTTTTATTATGCAGTAGTCTTTATCTCATTTTGAATAAACTGGCTATAATTTTTTTTTAGCAGGTGTGAAGAGTGGAAGAGGGAATATTCGACTTCATGAACTGAAATGTGTTGCGCATTATGAATGAAGTGGATCTGTTTGAGCTCATATATATATATATAATTCAATCATAGTGAAATCCAAACCCCTGGCTCTAACATAAAGCTCCGAAATTTTTATTGCAAAATGGTCAAGTACGTCTTTGTTTATATGTGACTGCCTGTAAATATAATGTCTTTAATTATTATTTTAGAAAACTGGCAAGTCACATTTCTCCTGGCCATTGGAACATCTCTGTACTGGCAGATTTTGAGGTACAGTTTTTTTTTTACCAACTTCTTTGCTTGTGAACTTTTTTATTTTGGAGTGTTAAGGAAGAATGCAGTCGCAAGTAACTGGCTTTGGATGGAATCATGATGCATTTATTGTATATGGTCTAACTGTACTGTATATTGTTCATAATTAACAGGGTGCGCCTCTTCAGCTTGGCGGAATTGATTGTGGGGTATTCATCTTGATGGTAAGTAGTCTTATAATTGTTGTACAGCTGTGTCTGTGTGCTAAACAGTACATTTTTTTACATAACAATTTTTTTTTTTTTTTTAGTATGCACTCCATGTTACGCTCTTAAAGCCATTTGATTTTGCTGCGGTGAGTTTGTATCAATTTATGGTTATTTGTAAAGCAAAAGGTCTGTGAAAACACTTTCAACAACATTTTTAATGGCTCTCATTTATCAGTCTGACATGCCTAAAATCAGGAAGTGGTGGTGCTATCAGTTAATTCAGACATTTCCTCTGACAAGGTATGATAGTGATAATTACTCTTTCGATTAAAATTTCCATTCTGTGCATTTCCACTATGCAGGCAATATATAAAAGATTAAGCATTGCTTGCTTAAAACAGTAATGTTTGTCACTTCCAACAGTCAATTCCAACAACTAGTCACCCAGGAACAAGAACTGCCAAATCCAGATGACGTGGAAGTCAGTCCACCTGAGTCAGATATGATGAAGATCACCCCAACACCAGGATTCTACGTATGTAGAGAGAATGTTTATGTATTGCTTGAAATGTTTATGCGTTTACCCTTGTTTAAGGTGTTTATGAGCAGCACCACATTAATTACATTATTGTTGGAATTCCTATATTGCACACAGGACTCAGCAGTAATGAAAAACATATTGCTGACCTGTAAGTGGATGGAGGAGAACCAACACCATTTTGCTGGGAAGATTCAACTGCCAAAGATCTTAAGGATGAAGGAGAAAGATGCCTTGTTGGCTATCACAATGCGAGACTTGTTCGTAAGCACCATGTTTTATGAAGGTGAAATGGATGGAGAACAAATTCTGGCTCCCTTCTTTTTCATTTTTCAGAGGTTAGAGGACATGGAAATTTTCTTGCAGGAAATAAGAGACAAAAGAAATATCCGTGTGTCTTGTTTACACAACCCTCACTTGTGAATTTACCAGTGGGGTACTACAATGTAAATATTTTATTTTTGTTTTGTAAAATTTTATACATTTTTTGTGTGAAAACCACAAAGAAACGCCAACTGAGCCGAGGTTCCAGCGACCCAGCACCCTTCTTGCTGTGAGGCGACAGCACTACCTACTGCGCCACTGCGTCGCCCTGTTCTTGAAAAATATGTATTATTTTATATCTTGTTATACCATTAAAATTGTGTGAAGTGTTGTGTTTTTGAAATATATGGACATTTATTATTTTATGACTTCTTATTATGACATTTTATCTACATTTAAGATTTATTTTAAGTTTAGATGCACATTCTGCTAATTTAAGTTATTAGAAACAAATGCATTCATTTCAACTTTTGTAGGACAGAGGAGTATGTGTCTTAAAATACATCTTCCAAATGTTGTTGGAATTCCACATTATTCTGTTTTAGACTACTGGACTGGTAACTTATTACCATAAAAAATTAAATAAAATAAATAAATATATATATATGAGTACACTCCCCACAAATCTCTCATTTAAATTAATATTTATATAGTATGCTTTACAATATTTGTGCATATACATTAGATTAGTCAGCCCTGAAGCCAAATCTGGAGCTTATTTAACAAAATAACTTACAATAATGGTTAAAAAATTAGTAGCCCAAATTTTGTAGTTTGTAATTTTGTTTGCAATATTTTGCATGAATTTATATGTATTATCTTTCAATTTCTAAATATGTTCTGTGACTAAAATATTATTTTAATAACTATATCTGTTTAATTAATCTGTTTTGTTTAAATGTTCCAATATAAATTAGCCATATTCAATGTAAAAATGGAGAAAAATATTCATTTTCAAAGTGGGGTGTTTTCATAAGCACTGTATATATATATATATATATATATTACAACCACCCTCTTGGAATTTTGTGCATACACATTTACATTCCAAAATGGGCAAATTACAGAAACTACAGTTTACAGTTTTTTTTATTATTATTATTATTATTATTATTATTTATTGCATTTATCAGACTATTCAGATTGGTTCATAAATAACCCACAGATTAATGTGGTGGTCAAAAATTAAAGCGGGTGCACTAATAGTAAGCTTTCACATTGCCTGCCAAGTCTAGAAGCTTTTATCTAAAGCAACTCACAAAATGGAGGAAATTCATCTAAATAAGGACAAAATAATATGACAAGCTTACATAGATGCAAAGTTTATAAAGGTATATGACAATAGAGCATTATAGAAAAGCATTTACGTAATTCCGTTTGTCAGAAAAACGATGCTGACTATGTTTAAAAATCATCAATCATAATCCTTAAAAATATTACAGAAATGTCAACATCTTGCGCATCAACACAAGAATTTATTGCCATTACGCTTGAACTTGCACTAATATTAACAGCCAATGCAACAAGAATATACTGCCATTACGGTTGAACTCACACTACTAATAACAGCCACTTGGTGGCGCGTCATGTATGCCCCACCCATTATCTCAAGCGAGGGGGAGCTAGAGCTGTAGCTCCCCCTAATTGGCTCTGCAGCGAGCACCACTTGAAATTTTGGCAGAATTGTCATTTTTGGGTAAACTATCCTTTTAAGATTGTATAAACATAACTATATAGGAATATTTATAAAAAATATATACATTTAAATACACAACTCTTTATTTAATTTGTTTTAAAATATTTATTTGTGGTGTTTTTTTTGCCCTTATTATGATGTATGCATGTCAATGCACTACACATGAGGCTACTGTTAAATTCTAAATAAAATAATGCATTTAATAAGCAAGGAAAGTGTTTCTATCAACTAAATGTGGTTAAATGTAATTAATATATTTACATTTACCTCATATAAATACAGTTGAGATCTGAATTATTAGCCCCCCTGAATTATTAGAGCCCCTGTTTATTTTTTCCCCCAATTTCTGTTTAACGGAGAGATTTTTTTCAACACATTTTTAAACATAATAGATTCTAATTTCTAAAAACTGATTTATTTTATATTTGCCATGATGAAAGTAAATAACATTTTACTAGATATTTTTCAGGACACTTCGATACAGGTTTAAGTGACATTTAAAGGCTTAATTAGGTGAATTGAGTTAACTAGGTAGGTTAGGGTAATTAGGCAAGTTATTGTATAATGATGGTTAGTTCTGTAGACTATAGGAAAAAAAATTGCTCAAAGGGGCTATTAATTTTGTCCTTAAAATGATGTTTAAAAAAATTATAGCTGCTTTTAGTCCAGCCAAAATAAAACAAATAAGACTTTTTCCAGAAGAAAAAATATCATCAGACATACTGTGAAAATTGTCCTTTCTCTGTTAAACATCATTTGGGAAATATTTAAAAAATAAAAAAAATTCAAAGGGGGGCTAAAAATTCTGATTACAACTGTATACGAGCAATATCACGTGAGTAGCGGTGTGATATTGCGTTTATACAACAGTTCAATAGCATTATTGTGTATATAAAAAAGAAAATCAAACACTGAGGGTTTCAAAAATCCTTTTGTGCGAGGAACTACTTTTTTCCGCCATTCATTCACATCTGCATCTTACATCAGAACTGACGTTGACGTTCTCTGTTGCATTTAGGATATCACAATAATTAACCCTGAAAAAGCCAAAGCAAGGCAAACACTAACAGATTACTTTGGTATAAATACAGAACTACAACATAAAAAGAGAGAGAAATTGCCTTAGAATGTCACCTCCTTGTTCTGAATTTTTCTCCCCTCAGGACTTATTATGTGGTCTCTTTTGCTATCTTGTGGCGCAACGTCAACCATCTTTGCTCTGCTCAGTATGACTAGGCCTGTCATGATATCTATCTCTTGTTTTACATTATATAGCACTAAAATGTATCGCGATAAACAATAATATTGTGATTTTTAAGACCATTTTGACACTATAATAGCATCATAATGCAAGTACACTCCTACATTTAATATTTAATTTAATTATAGTCATTTTTACAATCTAATAATTAGAAATCAGAATGTGAAAATGTGTATCATAAACAAATAAATAATAATAATAAATGTTAACAAAAAAGTGCTTGATAAAAAGAACTAGAAAAAAAGTAACATCTATTTTCATTCGTCAGGAACCCACATGAAAATATACTATAGTTATTATTAGTAAATACTAGTTTTAGTTATAGTTTTTTAACCATACTGACACTAACACCTCCAATGAAGAATGAGACGCAGCAAAATCAGCTCATTTTTTTATGTATGAGCGATATACAGTTGCAGTCAGACTTATTAGCCCCCCTTTGAATTTTATTTTCTCTTTTAAATATTTCCCAAAATATGTTTAACAGAGCAGGAAATGCTACACACTATTTTCTATAATATTTTTTCCTCTAAAAAATGTGTTATTTGTTTTATTTTGGCTTGAAAAAAAGCACTTTTTAACATTTTAAAAGCCATTTTAGGGTCAAAATTATTAGCCCCTTTAAGAATAGTTTTTTTTGAATATCTACAGAATAAATCATTGTTATATAATGATTTGCCTAATTATTATAACCTGCCTAGTTCACCTAATTAACCTAGTTAAGCCTTTAAATGTCACTTTAAGCTGTATAGAAGTGTCTTGATTAATATCTAGTCAAATATTATTTACTGTCATCATGGCAAAGATAAAATAAATCAGTTATTAGAAATGAGTTATTAAAACTATTATGTTTTGAAATGTGTTGAAAAAATCTCTGTTAAACAGAAATTGGGGGAAAAGTAAACAGTGGGGCTAATAATTCTGACTTCAACTGTATATATACATATAAATAATTAAGTTGCACAACTTTTTGCTGTCAGCTTTAACAATTATAAGAAAAATTTCTTGTGAAAATGTTTCTACTGTATACATTTCTGACATCTACAACTAGAGAAATGGCTTAAGTTGGCTCTAAAATGATTTTTAAAAATAAATGAATAGAATATAAAGCAATTTTATTTATAAAATTTTTTTGATTAGACAAAATACAGCTTTGTTCTACAACAGACATTCTTGAAATAAAATAATTACAATAATTTATAGTAGGTACCTCAACTAAATATAAAAAAAAAGATTTAAGTTTATCAGGATTTCTCAAACCATAACAAATCACTAACATTTATAAAACCAACCACTAAATTACAGCCAACCGTATATATCTCGCCTACTAAAAACGTTTAATGACATGCAAATATTTGTAACCACCAAATACTGCCGTTACCTTTACTAGTGTCCGGTATCCGTTCCCTGGGGTCTGTTCATCCAAATCGAAATGATGATAGACGGTCATAAATCCAGTGATCAAAGGTTCAACAGCGCGACCGTGTTCCTGAATCTGCTTCATGACCCCCAACAGACGCTCAGCGGCGTCAGCATTTGAGGAATTACTGGAGGATCCATTCAAAGTCGAAATAACATCCAAACAAATCGTCTGCAATCCTGCGAATACATGCTTATGATCCATATCGGACAACCTGAGAGAGCCAGAGATTTCAAAAATAATCAGATGAATGTAAACGGAGCAGGTAACAAAGAAACAAAACAAAAACAATACAACAAAACCCTGTGACAGTCTCATGAATATACACTATTGTTGTTCTAGAGAGAGAAAGCAGAGCCTGACAGATACCGGCCTGTGCCAGGGAATACAAAGACTCAATGTTGGATCACATCGGCGTATTCCAGCAGAATTGAGTCCTTGCGTCATTAAAGTTCAAAAGTACAGTCAAGTGTTTTGATTCTGACAGACACCAATGAAAAGCTTTTAAAAGTATCTGATTATCCTCAGCTATAATTACTGGAAATGGCGTTCCAGAACATGAGGGGAACATGAGGATCATGTCTGGCATGACTCTAGATCTCAGGAGGAAAATAAAAGAGCTGCTTTAATGATCAGATACAGTCAGACTAATCTGTCATGGCCAGTGGTGTATTAATTGAAACATCTTTTTTGCCTGGGGAAATGCCGAATTTGTAAAAGAAACAAGACTTAAAAAGCCCCTATTATGGGTTTTTGAAAATAACCTTCTATATAATGTGTAACACAGCTCTAAGTGAATGAAGAGGTCCAGCTGAAGTTTAAATCTGAAGTGCACTGTGTTTAAAACTATTAATTCTTTAACGAAATAGGCGACTCGAATAAATAGAATCGAATAAATAAATTGAGTTGGGTTCGGATCTTTTGCTTGAACGAGTTGACGTTGATACGGTACCTCAACAAATATGTAGCTCCAGATCCGGTAAAATGTGAACGCGCTTTCCCTTCAGACACTAGGAGCTCGAGAGATTACGGGACTGATCATGACATGAATATATGTCGATCGCTGACAGATGGAGATTCGGTTGCGGGGAATATAGGGTTAAAGTTCATTTTCACTACAGTGTAGCCAACATAGTGTTGTGTTTGCTTCCGTTATTTTTCTGATGATTGATATAATAGCTTATGCTGCAACGCAGGATTCATCAGCCATTTGCTAAAAAGGAAGGAGAAACAGAAACTATTATGTATGGGACTTTGTCAGTAACTGTTACAAATCATTTAGACAAGTTTCTTCTTCCACCGGATCCTAACATGTAAGTGTCATTAAAATTGTTGCCTCGCTTTGTGTAGTTTGCAAAATATGCGTTTAATTGTGTGTTATAAGTTGTAATCGCCCCACCCGGCTTGTAATCATGTGTCTATTATAGATCAGTGCTTTTATTGTGTCTCTCAGGTTAAGCTTTTATGGCTACTCACATATTGCATCCAAAACCACATTGAAAATGCAACTTTTACACTTTAAATGCGTTTCTTAACTCATGATCCTCTGCCATTTTTTGTCTTTGTTATTGCCACCATTAGCTGTTCCTCACACATGTGGTATGGTTAATTTTCAAAATAGTTAAACTCTTGCCACTGCGTAGATTAATACTGAATGTTTGTCGTTGTTATTAATTGGAGTAAGGTTTAAGAGTAGAGTAATATGCTAGTGTTTAACTGCCCTGCGCTGCTTTATTGTATTCCTGCATTGGGCTCTCACATACTCTGTGTGCTACTTCATTGCCGTAGTGGGCGTTTCTCTTTATCTTGCGCTGAACCCAGTCGACCAATCACAACAGACTGGGTCATCCGATCAATCAGCGCAGATTAGCTTCACGCTAAAGCCTGGTTTATTCTCGATGCGTCCGATGATTTCAGCTGGCGGAGCACATGATTTTTTTTTAGATTCAAGCAAACAGTTGATTGGAGTTGAATGTAAACCATTTTCAAAAGATGTTGTCTGATACAGGTACGACTGTACAGATATCATTATCATCTCTGATCATAGAGATAACCAGATGATCAATAATTCTTGGCTAGAAAATAATTATAAGAGGACATAAGAGGAGGACAGAAACTAACCAGACAGTAATGTGTGAATTGTGGAACGGGCTAAATCTAAAAAACATCTGTTTTTAAGTAAGTGTGCTTATTTTTATCTTTTTGCTTTCATTCTTGCCATATTCAAAAAATATTTGTAGAGTAGCCCATGTTCTCTTGTCATTAATGCTTTAATAAACTTTATTAGGTAAAACTGTCTGAGATATGAACAAAAGCAAGTGATGCATCAACATTTAATTAAAAAACCTTAAACAGTTATAAAAATCATTATAATCATTCAAATAATTTATAAAAATAATACAAAAAATAATTAGTTTAAAATTCTTGAATGATTATAATGATATGATGTAGTTGCGGAAACTTTCTACTACTCTGTTTATCCGTCTGACTTTTCGGTCAGTTTCTTTTGACCGCCCCCTGTCGTTTTCAAGAATGTCACAATGGCAAAATCTGCAAGTATAAAAGCCTCATCCGTTTAGTGAGGTGCGTGCGCAGTCAGCTGAGGTGCACGATGTGGCACCAGGCGAAAGTATAAATCCAGCTTTAGGAGGGGTTTGGGAACAAATGAATCGCTGAATGAATATATTATGAATAATTACCTATGATAATTAGGTAAAATAAATGCATATTATAAGACAATGAAAGCATTTTTTTGACCTTGCATGCATATCAGCCTGTTGTTGGAGACCCCCAAAACTAAATTATGACTTTTTAAAATGCAAAACAGGGGCTCTTTAAACTCGGCTTCAGATCATACACACAAAAAAATAGCGTTATCTTTTATCATTTTTTAATTTTAAAAAAGTTTAATCCACTTAAATATATATATAAAAAAATATTTGTGTTGTGAAAGCATTGAGGAATTGTGTGTAACCCAGTGTACACTCAAAAAATACTTTTGCTGCTTGTTTAAACTACTTATTTAAAATGAGTTGAAACAACACAATTGTTTCGTTTTCTTTTGGGACAACTTATTTTATATGTTCAATCCACCTAAATTTGTAAAACAAACAAAATAATTAAGTTAACTTAATCGATTTGTGCTGGGGAATGAATTGTGTGGAACTCAGCATTTTTTTACAGTGTATAGCACTGATCTGAATTATTCATTTACAAGCTGCAGCCACTGTTACAGCTGAGCAGATCTCTTTACTCAGCAAACACTTCAACGGTCTGAGATTACTATTCACTTTCGCTCTTTTACACACACACATCAAACTGCTGGCGGAAAACAATCACTTCTGATCAATAAAGCAACAAAGGCACTTTCACACTTTGATGCCATCTCCGTTTAAGAGTGGGTAAAGGACATTAAGACATTATGTCACTTACAATGTTGCATATCAAGGCTATGCTATACTTTATGTCTCCACTATTATATATGGATTTTGTGTAGTTTTTTTAAATGGTCCCAGATGAATACTATGATGAATAGATGTCCGGCATGCAAGATATAGTTAATATTAGTTAAAGTATAACTGAAACCATAAAAAATAATATGAACTAAATGTAATGCAAATACATTTAAAGTAATAAAAGAAAATATTTTGCTTCAGCTGCAGCCATATTTTTACAGAACTATTTTTACGTTTTATTACAATATTTTATTTTGTTTATCAGAAAAGTTACAAATCGAATAAAAAAAAAAATTACACAAAATTACAAAAATAAAAAGCTAGAATTCCATAATAGGCTATATATTCAATGAGGAAAAAAATATGAGGAAAAAAACATATATATATATATATTTATATATATATATATATATATATATATATATATATATATATATATATATATATATATATATATATATATATATATATACAGTTCTGTCTGGTTTTCGAATCTTATTGGCTGACAGCCTTGCGATATTCTGCAATAACAGCCTCTTCACTCTTGTGTATTACTTCACCCACATAGAGTGACAGCAGATCAGTAAACTCACAACAGTGTGACAAATATTGCAGCCGTTGGACAACATAAAGGCTTTTTTTTAGTCAAGAATGTAGTTGTTCAGATTGCAACTATGCAGTTTATTTATAAGGATAGCGCCTATTTTAAATATTTCTAATTTCTGAGATACAGTGTTTCGGCATCCCTCAGCCCATCATACTGAGCAGCGCAAAGACGGTTGACTTTGTCCATCCACAAGATGGCAACAGAGACCACATAATAAGCCCTTAGAGGAAAAGCTCCACGTAATTTCAAACTACAGCTGACCAAATCATTATTAAAGTGGTTCATTATTAAAGTCTCTTTTGTATGTTGTAATGCTGTATTTATGCCATAGTAATTATAGTGTATTGAGTGTGAGATAGGGCTCGCATATCAGACAAAAACTAGACTTGATTGAGGGCGGTGGGCCGGAGGTAAATATACCAAACTGCAAAGTTGTCCATGTAATTTCCTAATTTATTATTGAAATTCATTATATAATTTAATTGATACTATAATCTATTACATTTAAAATACTTTAATTGCAGTAATAAATATACATTTTTGTACAATTTATAATGAACATCTTACAATAAGGCTGCACGGTGGCGCAGTGGGTAGCACGTGTCCGCATGGGTTTCCTCCGGGTGCTCTGGTGTCCCCCACAAGTCCAAAGACATGTGGTACAGGTGAATTGGGTAGGCTAAATTGACCGTAGTGTATGAGTGTGAATAAGTGTGCATGGATATTTCCCAGTGCTGAAAGGGCATTCGCTGCGTAATATATATATATATATATATATATATATATATATATATATATATATATATATATATATATATATATATATATATATATATATATATTTATTTATTTATTTATTCTGAAGAGGGTCCAGTAAACTTGCCTAGTTAACCTAATTAAGCTTTTACATTGCACTTTAAACTCCTTTTGGGTATACTACACAAAAACTAGTAAGATATTTTGTACTGTCATCATGTCAAAGACAAAATAATTTTGTTATTAGTAATTAGTTATTAAAATGTGATTTAAAAATCAATTCGTTAAACAGCACTTAGGAAATAATTAAAATTAATTTAATATTTTACACAAGAGCTAATAATTTTTTGCTCAACCATATATAGTTTATAATACTGCATCCCTGCCTTGAAATTATTGATTTTTAATGCATTTAATTTTTAAATACAATTAAGTTCAATTCTTTCCAAGATTAGTTTTGTGTCAGCATCAATGCACTGCACAGCAGACATCACACACATCAACAATAGGCTATTTGAACATACACAGCTAAAACATTCATATACTGTGAGTCTTCTGTGTTTATAAATAAACAGTTGTTGTTATTGATGTATTATGACTAACTGAAGATACTGGTTAAAAACAATGAGGTAACCGATCTGACTTACAAGACAGCACTAATATAGCCTAAAATTACCAGGGTTGTTGTATAAAAATAAATTCCAGATAGCAAATGTTTCCCCTTAATGGGTAAATTCTACCCAGCTCAGTGCTTAACAATACTGGTAATAGTGTGGACTATTATAGAAGTCAAGTACAGTAGCCAACTACTGCATACAGCATGTAATAGAAGAAGATCTGGCAACCCAAAGTGCGCGTCGATGAGCTTGACAAACAGCTCCAGGGTGCGATAGGTTTGCTCATTAACTTTCAATGCGATGAAACAGATATCATGAAACCTTTTTTGTATGGTGGCCCGTCACTCACATATTTAGATGACAAGGACCAAGACTCCACTCTGTTTTAACTAACTTTTTGCTTAGGCTGAGAGGATTGTTGAAGAGCGCTTACCTTTGCTTACCTGTCACTCACTGAACTCCGCCGCGCGTGTAAGATGCGCGTGAACTGCGAGGGATCGCTGACAGCATACCGAACAGCGCGTTTTTTCAGAGGGCTATCGACACTCGTACATATTCTCAACTAAACACGACTTGGCAGAGGATGTCTTGTGCTTTTGCTTGCTTGTGTATCCTCTTCCGTGCCTGTCAAAGTTTCGACTAACCCGCAGCATCATGGGTACACGAGTTCAGTACAGAGTCCTGTCGACACATGCACGCGCGTGACGCGACTCTTCCTGTATACAACTTGTATTAGTGCTTACTATATATATATATATATATATATATATATATATATATATATATATATATATATATATATATATATATATATATATATATATATATACACTTAAATGGTTTGTTGCAATTGGTTTTCTCAAATGGTTTGAGTTACTTTAACTTTGTGGAGTTTACAGTATATATATATATATATATATATATATATATATATATATATATATATATATATATATATATATATATAAACGTATCCAAATGTGTAATGTGAACTTAATCCATTATGATCACCTGATAAATGAAGAGAAGCGATTGCAACAAACGATTTAAGTAAAAAAAAAAAAAAATGTGTATGAGTAGCTACTGTGAACTTACTCCATTTAAGTTGAAGTAATGAGGTATTTAAGTAACTCATTACCTTCAACCCTGAGTTCAAACCATAGACTGTAAAATATATGTAAAATATTCAAACGAGTAGAATTAGGCCTAACCTTCAGTCATTTTTTAAAGTTCAGTTCATTTTGTTAAAGTTGACTGTTTGGTTTTACAGTGTATTTTATTTGTATATCATTATATAGATAAGTGTAATAATAACATTAAATAATAACATTAAGTCTTTATATAGGTTAAGTCTGTGGTAGGCTATCATGGGTCATATTAGTTCATTTTTCTTTAATTAATTAGAAGATGAATGCTTTAATGTTAATACTGTTTTTGTAAAGTGTTCAATAACATTATGCGGTGTCAAAGTGATAGGCTGTGTGGTAATGTCATTTATTAATAACAACTTGTTGACTAAAGAAGTGTTTTATTGTATTTACATCTGAATTTTACATGTTTAATATGTCTAAAATAAGCTTAATATATACTAAAGTAAAGTATATTAAGTTAGTTTGTAAAGTACTGAGTAATATTAATAAATTAGTAAACTACCATAATAGTATTAGATTATTATTATTATTATTATTATTATAGCTATATATTAATTTGTATGTTGAAGTCAGAATTGTTAAACCCTCTGAATTATTAGAGCTCGTTTATTTATTTTTTCTCCAATTTCTGGTTAATGGAGAGCAGATTTTTTCAACACATTTCTAAACATAATAGTTTTAATAACTCATTTCTAATAAGTGATTTATTTTATCTTTGTCATAATGACAGTAAGTAATATTTTACTAGATATTTTTCAAGACACTTCTATACAGCTTAAAGTGACATTTAAAGGCTTAACTGGGTTAATTAGGTTAACTTGCCAGGTTAGGATAATTAGGCAAGTTATTGTAACGATGCTTTGTTCTGTAGACTATTGGAAAAAAAATAGCTTAAAGGGGCTAATAATTTTGACGCTAAAATGGTGTTTAACAATTTAAAACAGTTTTTATTTTTGCCGAAATAAATCAAATAGACTTTCTCCAGAAGAAATAATATTATCAGACATACTGTGAAAATGCCCTTGCTCTGTTAAACATAATTTGGCAAATAATAAAAAAAAAACAAAAAAACAAAAAAACAAAAACAAAGGGAGGCTAATAATTCAGACTTTAACTGTATATATGCACATACTACTCACGGGGCTGTTGCCAGCCTGGTGAAAGGGGTGGTTCTTTTTTTTCTCTTCATTGAGGTATTTCCACAATTGATGATGTCATAGTAGTCAAAATAGGACAAATGAGCTCATGTATGGGGTAAATTCTGGATCTTTGTCAGTGAGGGCATCTTTTTTCAAACCCGCTGCGAGCCTGCACACATATTATACAAATATATAACACATTTATTTATTTATTAATTTTTTTTGGGGCATAATCAATTTAATAATGTAATATAAAGAAATAGAAAATTAAAAATAGACTTTAAAAAGTTTAGAAAACTTTTTGAGGTTTTTTCTTTACCACATTGGACACAGGGTGGCAGTCAAGCCAAGAAATGTGACTCTGAGTTCAACATAATATCCTCTACTGGTCAAAAAAAAAAAAAAAAAAAAGATCATTGATGAGTTTTAAACATCCATGGGGCCTTCCCGTGACACTAAAGATGCATATATATATATATATATATATATATATATATATATATATATGATTCAGAACAGGGATCTTTTTGGAGGCCTTCAGTTAACAGGGTTTCTGCAGGTTTAATCAAGTCAAATTTAAGACCTTTTAAGACCATTATGAATGAAATTTCAGACTTATACAGGGCTAAACAATAATAATGATTATTTGTAATGGCCCAGTTGGGCTAATTGATTTTTTAAATTTATTTTTTTACTTGCCACAAAAAAGTCAAATGTAATTTTTTCTTAATGTGTCAAACAAGAAAACTCTAGTTGTGTACACTATTTTTAACATATTATTACTTACTTTTATGAAAATGACAAGTTTAAATTTGAATAAATTAAAAGTATATTTATTGTGGTGGCAATTACATAAATTATCAAATATATATATATATATATATATATATATATATATATATATATATATATATATATATATATATATATATATATTTGTTGGCTTTTGGTCTAAATTGATTTAGTATAACGCCTATTCACGCTAATGCATTTCTGCCATAAAACCTTACATTTCAAGCCTATTATTATATATTATGTCTACTCACCCTTTACTTCTATAAATATTTTGTATGAATGTAAGATAATATTAAGGGATAAACTGCTCTCTTATTTTCATGAGGAAATTGTGTAATTGTTTTTAGTTTTCCCCTGATTTTGTTAGGATGGATTGTTGGTGATTAGATGGATGTCGGCCCGATTGCGTAGCTTTACTTGGACAGAGGAAAATTAAGTCCTGTTTAAAATGATTTAAGACATACCAGACAACATTTCAGTGAATTTAAGATTTTTTTCGGCCTAACATTTTGTTTTTGAAATGTAAGACATTTTAAGACCCTGCAGATGGTTATAAAAGTAACAAGTAAACCAATGTTTACCCTGTAAATGCTAGCTTGCACTACACAATAAATCAATAAAATATTATCTTATCTTCTTATCTTTAATACCACATGTTTTAAGAGGCTGTTATCTATTTTAGGATATCTTAAAATAATTTCATAACTCACAGTTCTCTATTCACTTCTTAAATAGCGACATTAACAAGAGAGAAAAAACAATGAAGCAAGCCAGGGCGATGAAGCAACCAATGCCTTGTAGTCTGACATTTGTAGTCTGACATTTTTTATATTACAGCAAAGGTATATCAGAGCTTTTGTAAAGGTGTGATGCCTGGCCATTATATACTCTAACATTTGAAGCTCTTTACACCTATGTGTCATTCAACATCTGTCGCCAGCTCAACCGCTTTGTTTCCCTTATTACAGATGATGACTATATTCAGCGCGCTATGTGCTGGAAACATACATGGCTTCCTAAAGAGGGTCTGACGGCTGCCTTTTTGGCTTAGCTTAGCACAGATAGCTGAATCAGATTAGAACATTAGCCAAAAAAAATATAATAATGTTCCTATATAAAGCCTAACTTTTAGTCACATTACACTGCATTATCACTGTGCCTGCTGCAACCAATAGAAACTTTCTTTGTTCTTGGCCAGTGTAACTACAGAAGAGTCAATCTTTAAATTAGAAAACTATTCCCAGGTAGCAAAGAATTCTGGTCCAGATTTGGCATAAAGCTGGCACAGCAGGCGTTCGTCCGGCACTGGCATACAGCACAATGGCCAAAAATGGCCTAGGTTTGGCTGAGGTGGCACCGTCTTACAGGCGACACTCAAGACTTGGGCCTGATATCAAATGTAGTATTTGGCCCAGATGTTAAAAATGTATTTGTGGGCCACGTGAGTTTGGTCTATTTTGACCCACTTTTAAAATACATTTAAATTATTTTTGAGTAAAGAAACAGTTCTATCCATCAGGTCGCTTCAAGAAAAAGCACAGCCATAAAGCGAAATGCTTCTTGGGTATATAAAAAAAAACATTGCAGTCATGATACATCAACATATTTGGCCCAGTTCAGGCCCGGTTATGGGTTATTAACTTGGCTGAGACTTGGCCCAGATATGGTCCATGTTTGCCTCTTGTATGGAAGCCAGACTTGGTCCAGTCATGTACCGTAATTCATTGCGGTATGTGAGTCAAGCAAATGGGGATGGTGTGGGCCAGATCTGGGCCAGAGGAAGTTAGCTATGGGGGTTGTAACTCTTTGAGCGAAATGCTAATGGTCTAATCCATTTCAATCATTTATGCTAAGCTAAAGTAAACTAAAAGTGCCTTTGCCAGACCCAGAGATCAGCTAAATTAGGGTGCTAGGGTGAGTGACGGCATGTTGGGGCTTTGGATTGTCTACTGGATTGTCTTTCAGTAGTGACATTTATAGTAAACCAAACTGAATTTGTTTTAATAGAACTAACTACAAAAATCTGATCTATCAAATATAAACTGAAATACTGGCTTTTTGTGTTCCTTTCTTCGTCTATCTAAAACTCCTACATTGTAAAAGATTTCGAGCAATATAGGTGATCTTGACTTTGAGTTGGGAAACACTTTATAATAAGGTATGATTTCAAAAACAGCCCATGCCTTGTGTGTGCGGGTCAGTGATATTTTGTCAACATGTGGAAGACCAACAACACACTAGGCAGGTGCTGTTATTTTTGGCCTTTCTGTCTATAATACATTTTTTCTATGATTACATTTTTTTCTTATTTAATTTCGTATGTAACTTCATCTTTATTTCCATCCGCACTATAACAAATTTAATATACAACACCAACCCAGGCAATATATCACTTTTAAAAATGTTTTTTCAAGGTTGAAAGTGGTTAGAAGAAAGACTTATGTCACATAATGCAATTCAAATAAACAGGGGAAAAAGGTAACATATGAAGTGCATAAACCTTAAGTATAAATGAATGTCTGTGCAATCATCTGTACAAACCTTTATCAGTGTAATAGGATATAATATGATAATATTTATCATCAAAACTAAGTCAATTTGAATAC